CCCTAAGTAAGAACAGAACACACCATGTCTTTTTTCCAATTTAATGATCCACTATGAATGTTTTCATATTAAAGACACCAGAAACAGTTTCAAAAGAATTTGCTTATGAATCTGAGGGTACCAACTGGGCACAGGTATAAAAGAAAGCCTTTTTCTTTGGTACCACTTCAAACCTATGGCTTTTTTGTGTAGACAGGACAGAGATAGAATTAGAGATGGGGGAGGGGGTCCTGCTATAGAGATACATGTTTAACTGTTTTACTCATCATTTTCCAAGATTATTTGACCATGGAATCTTTTTTTTAAAATCATACCTATTAACATACAAAGAAATGCTGGAACTCCTTGGGGAAAAGGGGATAGAAGTTTGGGGTATTATTTGAAAAGAAGGCTCTTATATTTAAAAAGAAAATTCTAGTAAGTATGATAAGGAACAAAATTCATAGCTCGTTGGGTGTCTTATTTATGCTATAGCCTAAACCAGCTCTTAGGTGTCTTTGGCCTTAGATTGTCATTGTATCTCTATGTCTTCTGTTCTGCTTAATCAAGAAGTTCAAACCACTTCTTTCCAGGGATAAGCATGTCCCTTCCAGTGGTCTCTGAAAAAGAACTTCCACTGGTGACTACTTACCATACCCCGTTATGGTAAGTTATCTCTTTAGTGCAATGAGAGTCTGTTGTTAACTGCATTCATCTGCTGTTGCTAATACCATAGCTAGTCTCTTGCTCTTCTGCCTTAAAGAATATCCACAGTGAACCTAGTTACTTTTTTTAGCTGCCATCCTTGCTTAGTTTTTTCCACTCAGTAAAAATGCCTTGACTCTTTCCATGTGCATTGCTTGTCACCAGCTCTCTATTTAACCTCCACCCTCCAAGCTTTAGTGCCATTTCAATGCAGTTGAGTTCTCAGGTCAAATTTAATGATTACTGGCTGTTCTTCTTTCTCTTGATTTCAAAATGGCTTTAATTCCTTTCCTTATCACCTTGACCTTATGTCCCAGACTCTGTAGCACTCTGTCCCCTGGAGATCTTCACAGACTGTTGCCTGTTCTTCACTTGGCTGCCTCAAGCCGGGTCCTCCTTCCTGCAAGAGGTTTTTCAATGTAAGACAGTGAATATGCTGATGATTCTTCTCTTGGCCTCTCACAGTGTGCCTTCATCATTTGGTTTACTCTTTATCCTTAATTCTCATACTTACTTGATTCTGCTGCGTATAAACACACTATGCTTGCAAAAATCTGTTTCATCTGTCTCAAGTTGTAAACTAAGCTGGGACTATTGAATTGAGCCTCACCAATACTCAGCACAGCATTGCAGGTCTAAGTGTTTTATTTTCCCCTTTTCCTAGAATAAAAATTAATAAACCATGTCCTTTTCAGGCCTTTATTCTGTCTGGTGTCTAAGGAATGGGCAGCCTGTCTTAGCCAGAGACATACACTGGTTGTCATTTCCCTGAGATTTGAGTTTCTAGCAACCACTCTTCTCATTTCATTTCCCACACTTCTTTGTATGTCTTTTTTTTTTTTCCTTATCATCATTTCTCTGCTATCTCAGATTTCCACTTGCTTGTGTGAAATGTTACAGTTATCTTGTGGGAAAGTGTGAGGTTCAACTGTGAGCAAAGCAAAACAGTAGTAAGCCACAAAAGAATACCATGAAACATGACTGATACTCTTTATTCCTGTCTGCTTCTTTAGAACTAATAATGCAATTGGGGAGACAAAGCACACAGAACAGTTGAGAAGAATGCAGCACTCAGAGTCAAATTTGTTTCTGTGTTCTGAGAAGGGGAAGGTCAATGTCAGTGTGGGCTATGTTGGTGACCAGGAGATGGGGAAGTTTTGTAGATAAAGTAGAACTTGAATATTACAGAATGGATAGAATTTAGCTTAATTGGAGGGACAGGGAAGAATATTTGACAGGAGTGGTGTTAATACTGGGAAGTACTGAAGAAGAGGGTGAATAGAAAGGTGGGACCAGACTCTACTAATGTCAAGGGCAAAATAGCTAGATTTTAAAATTTTTTCAAGGAACCTAGTATTTCCAGAAGTAGCTTAAAGTTTTATTTATTTTCTTTTTAAATTAGAACAACATTTTCTGTTTTAAAATATATTTCAAAGTCATCGATATTGACAGTGGAGAGTGATTAGAGGTTTTAAAGCAGGGAAGTTATGTTACGAATGCAGAATTTCACAGTTAATCTTCCAGTGATATGTAATAAAAGAGTTTGAGGAGAGTGTACATAGAGGGAGCAAGATGCACAGTGGAGAGACCAACCACTGCTTTGGCCCAGTTCAAGGTCATGATGTCTTGCCTGGGGTGAGGTAGGAATGAAGGAACATATATGAAAGTTGCCTTAGGTTCGGTTTCCCAGAGGCCAATCCTGAAAAGAGAATTCACGTGATAGTGAATCAAGTAAGCACTTCCAACTGAAAATAAGGAAGGATTAGGGAAAAGCAAAACTGAGTAGCAAGGGTGTGATTTAGGATGTCCAGGCCTCAGCCTAACCTGAAGGGGTGCTGCAGTTTGAGTCCAGGGTCTTCTTGGAGTGAGTGGTCTTCCATTCTTGGTGCTCAGACAGGGCCTAAGGAGAGGGTGAAAAGTAAAGAAGAAGAAAAGTCCTTGGCAGTCCTGGCTTTTTAAACCTTTGGGGCGAAAGAGTTTAGAAACCCAAGGACAGACAGCTGAACAGAGTCTCAGGTAGAATAATTAGAAGCCAGTTCTATAGAAAAGATGAGGGAACCTGCTGTTTTGAGTTTTCTAGTATCTTAACATTTACAAAAAATAATCTTATAGAATTGACAGATGGTAAGGAAGTGACAGATGATAGGTAGATAGATAGATATGAGACAGTATAAGAGTTAAAGTACTGAACTCTGACTTTCCAAGATTTTGAATTTTTTACAATTGTTAGGATGAAAATAATTTGTCCAGATAATCCAATAGTTCATAGCAGGCTCTGTAAGATTTGTAAAGTGTGATGTGAATATAAAGTATTGACACACCTCTGGTACAAAGCAGCTTTGTTTGTTTGACATGACTTCCACTTCCTTCGTGAAGTGCCTCCCCATGTAAAAGTGACATCCTGTCTTTCTCCTGGGGAATTAATAGATTGTGACAAGAATTTGAGATCAATAAATGGGAACAGAATACACTCGTCAGTAGGACTCTTGGACGGAGCTTAAATGTCCAACCCCACTTGAGATTCCTGGTCATAATTTAAGGGGAGACCAGTCTACAAGTTGTGCAGCTTTTATGTAGCAACACTGAGCATCATAAAAAGCACACACAGAGAAGATAGTTGGAAGTTAGCCAAGTGAGTTAATGAAGGGGGAAAAAAGGTTAAAGGAGTTAAGTTTTTGTAAGTAAATGATTATGGTGATTGGAGCATGGAATCTAGGCTAAGTACCAAAAAAAAAAAAAAGATAAGATTAATGAATTTATTGGAGGTCTTGAAGTCTTGATGTGGTCAAGAAATCAATGAATTAGATGTAATGAGCTGAATTGAATTCTCAGAAAGGAGAACACTTAGGTTTAAGCAACTACAGCTCTTTCAGATGATGAGGTCAAGGAAAAGACCTTGAGTGATGGCATCAGTAAGATAGAGGAAGAGGTTACTGAAGATGAGGAGGTCAAAGAAATGAGAGGTGCAACTTCAGTAGATTATCCAAGTCGAAACTAAGATTTCCAAAAATAATGACAGGAGTAGAAGTGAACATCTTCAGTTTTTAGCCTCTGGCTTAGTCAAATAAAAACAAAACAAACTCTATAAGATATCTTGAATTGATGAGCAATTAACGTCCACAGCAGTATGTATTCAGCTTGGTAGGCATAATGATTATCTAAGTAGCAAGATCATTTCACTTTTATTTACGCTGAACATTTATATACTCAAAGACAATGTGAAACCTACAGTGAGTTTCTTTTTAATAATTAGTATTTCCCAGAATTACTAATCTAAAACTTTAAGATCTTTGGAGAAAAGAATTTTAAATCTATGCAAAGAATGATAAAAATTTCCATCACATTTATTTGTAAGTCAAAGACATAACTTGAATTGGAGTCATACATGTGCCCTCATCCACTTTTTTAATGTTTTGTATAATTTGTTGGCTTTATCTTACCTTGTTCCCAAAGGGATTTCTGGTCATCTTTGTTCCAAATATAACAACACATGGCTATGGAACAGATGGTAAAGGGTACTGGGTAAAAGATACATTCATAGAAGAACAGGATTAACCTAGACATAGAATAAGTAGATTGCATGTTTATTTAGCTTACAATATATTCTTCATTTTACAACTACATGTATTTTCTAGTTCTTCTTTATCTTATACCCAACTAAACAACTTTAAGGGAAAATTCATATGTTCTACTACTTTTAAAATTATTATCCCTTTTTTTGTGATTTTAATCATGTGCTCTCATGTATCTTAATATTTCCTTTTGATTAGCAGAAGCTAGTAGAGCAAAGAGACTAAAGAATGGGGGATTTCAGGCAACCACATTTTTGTTGAGAGAGAGTAAGGTGAGTGAAAGAGCTTTGAGATAAAGAATATACATCCTAAGCTAGACTCCTTTCTATCCCTTCACTATGGGGAGTGAGTTTTTTAAACTCATTTTCCTCATTTATGAAATGTGATAATTTCTGTTACTGCAATTTGAATCAGTTAGAGAGGAAAATAAAAACAAAAAAGCATTAAAATATAGCACAATATTCTTATTTAATTTTACCAGAATCCTTTAGTAAAAATTATCAACTAGATAATACAATATTTAATAAGTTAAATAACATCAGCTTTCTTTTGTTCTTCAGACTATTAATATTCATATAATAGCCATTATTATTACTTTCAAGGTAAAAGGATTTGTGCATGGATAGATTTTTGAACTCATTTGAAAGACTAAACTGTATTACATTTATTCAACATGCTTAAACTCAAGAAAATTTAACAAGGAATTTTGCTAGATGCATAAGACACAGGTTATTGATATTTCAGGTTGGAATCGTACAGTATGGAGAAAATGTAACCCATGAGTTCAACCTCAATAAATATTCATCAACAGAAGAGGTACTTGTTGCAGCAAAAAATATAGGTCGGAGAGGTGGCCTCCAGACTATGACAGCTCTGGGAATAGACACAGCAAGGTATGTAAATAAAAAACAAAATAAAAGCCTATGTGAAATAACTGCTTGCATTTTTTGTCCTCTTCAACTTGATTGAATGTTTACATTGGAAATATTTAACTCTGTCTTTTTTAAAATTAGATTCAGAAAATTTGCTACTAAGGTTAAAGTTTTTCTATAATGTAATTCTACTACCCTTCTTATCATTTCCTATTATTACAAGGGACCAATTGATGGAGAATCAACTTAAAAGATATCAGTGTTCTATTATGTCATGTTGTTGGGTATTAAGACAAATATTAGTTAATATTTTTTCAATTTATTCTTTATTTTTTAGCTTCTAGGAGTCTTAGTCTGAAGAAATGGATTACAATATAGTCCAGTTCTACTCGATATCCATATATATATATATATATATATATTCTGTCTGTATATTTTTCTACTTAATTTAGGATTATTGTAGCTCTCAGATTAGAATTTTAAGAGACTAAATTAAATATTGTCTTATTTGAAATAATTTTCAATGCCAATCTTAAAAGAAATGAAAGGGGTTTGCTTCTTTGTAATGTTTGTTTCCTTCCTTATCTTATTCTCTTCATTCTGCGGATTTCTTATGGAGAATACATAACCCACACTGGGGTTAAATTTTGTTCTAGACTCATGAATGTTAGGAAAGCATGTGGATCTAGTTGTATGGGGCTGAAGAGAGAATTCATACAAAGGGATGAGATAATTTTACATTTGCCTGTCCATAGAATCACCAATTTGCTAGCACAGAGAGTGCATATATGTAGATGCATTGAATGTTCCCACTTCAGTAATTGACTAAATGTGACCACACATTGAAAGTAAGTCACAGTATCTTTTTTTTTAAGCTCTGAGCCTGCAAAGAGTTGTGCATTTTCCAAAGGCAACCCCTTAAGAATGAATATTTATCCTTGAAAACAAACCAAAGAAATACTCTCCTGCTTTTTCTTCTGCACAAATGCCACTCTAAATACATGTCCCTGTATGGATTTTCATTACATGTTTCTCAAAGTCTCTATCTGTAAGACCAGAGTTTATTGCATTTTGAACACATACATAAAGTCTGTAGTGATATTGCAATACTAAGTATTTTTCTTATATATTAGTTTTTCATGTTCAAGCACATTTTTAATTGTTTTTGATTCCTGTTAGGTAGGACCAGTTGCAAACAATCCAGTTTTTAACTCCTTAAAATCCAAGATCTCAATTTTCAGTGAATCTTCATTTCAGTTCAAAATATATTTTTTTTAATGTCCCCTTTATCCTATCCCAAATTCTCATTGCTGTCAATAGGTTTACACTATTTAACCACAGTGTCTGGATTCTCTTGTCGCAATGAAAGAGACCCTTCTAAGATATTTTAATGTTTAAAAGCAAACAGGGAGGGTGATGCCTAATTCCAAGAATTGGTCACTGGTATTTTAGGAACAAGGAATATATTGAAGCAGAAAGGCTGTGCTGGAAGTTCTGCCACTGGCTACTCTTCTGTTATATAAAGTCAGCCCTGGTTTCACAGCAACCAGATTTTCTTGAAGAAGTATTTAATCATCTTCCTCAGCTGATATTCATTTAGTTCATTTACAACCTTCATCCTTAAGAAAATTAGGAGGTTTGGTAATCCTCTAAGTAATTAGAATTGCAATTAAGTATTGAATCTCATGTGATATCCATGTATAAGCCATGTCCAAATTTCTTTGAAAGCTTAGCCTTTAGCATCTGTTTTCACCTTTGTTCAGCATGTAATGTCTAAAAATCTACTTGTATAGTATGTTAAAAAAAATTATTCATATACTTATTAAAGATGGTAGGGAAGACTTCATTTAAGATGAACTACTGCAGTAGGGGAGAGAGACTGGGCTCAGCTTTGAATACAGTAGGGACAGATGGAGATTTATAGCTGTGGGACAGGGTGGGGAGACAGGGGATGGAAAATTACCAAAGGGAAACATGGAGGTGAGGGGATTTTTGTTAAACTGACACAACATGATTTTTGCCAGTGGCAGGTGAATAGTAGGCACTAAATGCTTCACTTCTGACACCAGATGTGTAGGTCCCTTCCCACACTAACCAATTCTCTGACACCAGCTGGGTGTCCTGTAATTCAATTCAATTCTGACTATCATCCACTTATTATAATATGGTACAACTCAGGAACAGACAGATGCAGGATATGCAAAGGGCAGGGTGTGGAGGAAGGGGCACAGAGCTTCCATGCCCTCTCTGGGTATACCTCCCTCCATGTGTTCAGCAATCTGGAAGCTGTCTGAAATCCCACAGTTCAGGGAATTTTATGAAGGTTTTGTAATGTAAGCATGACTGATTATTAATTCAATCTCCAACCCTTCTCCACCTACTGGAGAATAGGGACAGGGGCTATAAGTTACAAGCTTCTAACGTCTAATCACAGCTCCATCCTTCTGGTGACCAGCTCCTATCTCAGCAAGAGAAACCTGGTTAAAACAAAAGCCACTCTTATTCCTTAAGTAAATCCAAGGGGTTAGGAGCTATGTGTCAGGAACAAAAACATTTAGACAAATTAGATTTAACAAAATTTATTTGAGTGAAAAATGATTCATGAATCAGGCAGCACTCAGAACCAGACCAGAGGAGGGTCTGGTTTTAACCATAGTGAGCTAAAACTGGATTAAGTAGGCCAAGGACAAAGTTCAGAGCCTAGTCTAGAAGAGGCTGAGAGAACCCTACCTCAGTTTTGATCAAGAAGAAAGTCTTTGTCAAGTATAGAGGGCAAAGATACACAGTTGTTTATTTTTCTTTCTTTTGAAAAATTTTAAGAAAACTAGAAAGTTTTAAGAAGATTACAACAAAATCCTGTGTAATCTATCACACAGAATTGACCATTGTCAGCGTCTTGTCACATTTGCTTTAAGTCCTTTTAAAGAAAAACTAATCACAGATAAAATCCCTTTGCTCACATCACTCCTGTTCCAAAATACCTGCTATTGTGCATTTACTGTTTATCTGTGGGACAATGCAGGAATCATGCACACCATTTTCAATGTTAGTTTGAAAGAGGTGTTTTTTGGCATATCCCTAACTGCAGCTGTTTGTCCTTATGACCAAAGTAAAATATTTAAAGGGACCAGTGCAATTATTGCTGCATTCTATACTAAAATCTAAAAAGTACTATATGAAATCCTTTCATTGTATCAGTACTAATTAAAATGTACTTCTCTCTTCCAGGACTCCAGAGAGGGAAATAAGTTGAGTAAAAGGATGTAGTAGAGAGAAGGGTAATTGTGTGTGTGTGTGTGTTTGTGTGTGTGTGTGTGTTTGTGTGTGTGTGTGTGTAGGCCCCACAGAGCAAATAAAAATTGTCCATTTCCCTTATCTCTTCTCTCTTTCCATAAATATTTGTTGAATTAAATTAAAATTCCTTCTTTAGCAGTTGGTTACAGCATTTTTCATCTCTCCATGACACCTCCTCCAGCTCTATCCTCAGCTGTCTGTGTCCTAAAAAATGTCTGCTTCTGTCTCATCTCCCTCCCCCAGAGTAGTGGATTTCCCTGATGCTCTGTGCACATTAGAGCAGGGGTGTGGGAAGGGAGGTCTCCAGCAAAGGCTTCAGCCAGAAGCAGAAAAAAGAGGACTGACAGGCAAAGGAAGGAGCACTTATGGAGAAAGGAGCAACTGGGAGAGTATTAACAGAACTGACCTTCTCTGAACTTGATGCATGCTCCAATTATTCTCCTTTTGAAGTTTCTAAAAAAAAAAAAAAAAAAAAAGAAGAAAAACTGCTGCTTTTTGTATATGGTGATTAGCAAAGTGGCAAGCTCCCCATCATCTGGAATACATGTGAAACTGATACAGATAAGGATCATCATGCCTCCTGGCTGGAACGAGGGGTGTTAAAGTTGATCTTGGAGGAAAACCCAGGCTACCAAGAGTTGCTGTTTTAGTTTGGTTTTTTCACTTTGCCTAATCAGCCTCCCTTTTGTCTGTGCTCCCTTCAGGAAGGAGGCATTCACTGAAGCCCGGGGTGCCAGAAGGGGAGTTAAAAAAGTCATGGTTATTGTGACGGATGGAGAGTCCCATGACAACTATCAGCTGAATAAGGTCATCCAAGACTGTGAAGCTGAAAATATTCAGCGATTTTCCATAGCTGTAAGTACTTGGCTAGAGATGGTTTTCAAACTCTTGTGTGAAGAAAAGAGCTATGTCCATATTGTGGGAATATTAAGAAAGAACACAACCAAGATTGTAAAGGAGAAACTTTTCCACCTAAAGGTAAACACTGTGGGACGGGGTTGGTCTGGCTATTTTCTGTGTCCTCAGTGCCCAGCACCTTATGACCCAAACAGACACTCAACAAACAATCAGTGAAAGGAAAGAAGGAAGAAAATAAGGAAACATGAAAGGAGAAGAAAGAAGAAATATTTAAGAAGAAAGAAGGGGGAGCAGGAAAAAGAGGGACAAAAATAGAAATGGAGAAGGGAAGAAAAGGAAGAGGGTAGAAAAAAGAAGTGTACGGAGGAAATACAAACGTGCAGAAAAAAGGGAAGGAAGAAAGAAGGAAGAGAGAGAGAAAAGGAAGAAAAACCATGGAACTGTATTAGGTGATAAATAAATTGTAAGTAAATTGCCTGCTAATTATCCTGAAACTTGAGACACTTAACTCAGGACATGGCTTTTATAGTAATCTATGAAAAATCAGCAATGATATTTTCATACTTACAAGTATTGGTCAGTCTGTTCAGGGACTTATAATGTCCCAGGCTGTGATATTTCCCAGATGTAAGAAATAGAAAGTAATACAAGTCTGGGAGTAGGAAAGGGTAGAGGACCCTATATTTTAGAGCAAGAAACACATTTGTACACAGTGGCAAGTTAGGCACTCAGTTTTTCTTAAGACTCCTTAACTCCAGGAGGCAGCAGCCATGAAATAATAAAATCATAGTATTTTAGATCTAGAAGGCATCGTAGAGACAAACTGTGTTGCCCTCTTTCTCAGAAACCTTTAGACTCCACTATAGACTACATTCAGTCTCCCTTTCTTACCCTTTCACTCTGAATTTCATAATGCTGCATGTGCCTTTGGTCTGAGGAAGCAGAGTTTTCTTTCTCTTCTTAAATAGATTTTTTTAACTTAATAATTGACTCAATGAATTGATTAAAAATAAGTCAGGAAAAAAATTCAGAACTCTTAAGAATTCAGCCTGAAGTATTTTCCAACAAAACTCCTTTTATTTATAATAAGTAATAATCAGATGTTTTTCATATTGGTTTACAGCATTTAATCAGTGAGATTTACTCCTGTCCTTAAAAAAGTAAGGACATTGTCAGAAGGGATGAAAAAGAGAGTCATCCATGGATAAGGTCTTAAGACATGACTGAGTCACTGCTTGCTGGGGACACAGTGCAAAGATTACTTGGTTACAATCAAAGATAACTTCTGACTAATATTTCCTTATTTCATGTGAACTACAAGAAGTAAAAATCAGTCAAACACCTTATTATTTCTCACATTCTCCTTATTGTTATTTCTATAAATTTTCATTGGCTAATTATTAAATCCTTTATTACCCCTCCTGTTGCTATAGTATAACTATTTTGATCTCTTCCATAGTTGAAAATAATTCCATATGGGCCAGACTTCACTCAGAGAAACTGTCTAAGTGGTGGTGACGTTTAGCTATGGCTAGTGTCTTTCTTCAGTATACAAAGCCAGTACAGTTTAGTGGTCTCAGATAGCTGAATATCAGAGGTGGTCTCACCTGCTCTGCCTGAGGATGTAGTCTGACATTCCAGGTACCATGGATGCAGGCCACAAACAGTACTAACCATTGCCAGGATTAACAACATTGGGCTCGTGGTCCAGTTCATGGTAGAGCACTTGTCTAGCATGCATGAGGCTCTCAGTTTGATCTGCAGCACTGCCAAAAAACAAAACAACAACAATTAACAACATTAGGAAAATGTCACTAGAAAGAAAAATATCAATAAATGACTTCTTAATTTTCAATGAGTTTTGTGTTTTACATTATATCTGGCTACATATTCAGAATTTCCTGCCCTTGCTTTTGTTTCATTCCTAGTTGATAATTCACACATTGCCTCCCATATAATAAAATATAGATGTCATAATTCCATTAATCTTCAGAGAGAACCATTCATTCTTGAGTTCCTTTCTCATACTAATCAATGAGTTACTGTTCCTGGAAGTGCTATGAATAAAAATGTACAGGAAAATTTTCACTTAGCAACAAATTATTTGTTATTTTTCCTAATGCATCTGTCTCTTCCCCCCCCCCCATGAACTAAGTGTTTTTTTATCATTATTATTTGGGGAAAAACTAGGAAATAAGATAGTTATTTTACCTCCTCTCTCTTGTGCATTAACCCAAAAAGGCTTTAAGGTTTTCTCAAGGCTCATTCATATGGCATGTATTCAAATAAACCTGAAGTATTTATTGCCTGGACTGTTCCTTCTACTCCATGACTTTTTTACCCAGATATGATCCTGACCAACATGGAGATGTGTTTTGTTGGGAAACAGCTCCCCCAAAAATTCACAATCTGTAATATAAACATCCTGTGCTAAAACCACGAACATTTCCTGTTAAACTTTTAGTTTGAAGGAGGTCCTGAGTTTTCTTTAAATCCTCTGTTCCAATCTCTCTTTAGACATCTTTGTTGGGGGCCCTTTTTAAATTGAGATTCTAGTCTTAGAAAGTAAGGGCTGGGAGGTTTGTATCATCTACTGCATTCAAATAAAAGTGAAATATCAGAAAGAATCCTAGAATTTCATTTATTTTTCAATTAGAAGATACAGTATGTATGTGAATTAATTGTACACTTTACACATGACACATTGTCCTCACAAAAACTTCAGTTCTGGATCTCTTTCAGGGACAGATTAGCAGAATTCCGAATGCTTGGGCTTGACATATTTGAATATAGTGAAACAGGAGAAATTTAGAAGTGTTGTTTTAAAATCTTTTCTTCTTCATGGAAAATAATGAAGATCCTTGGGTACAAGATTAAAATACATTTCTATTATTGTCATTTGTGATGTAAAAATAGTTCAAAATTGTATGCAAGTCACAAAATATCTTGAGATATTTTTCTCTTATGTTTTCCTCTAAAGATATACTACTACATTTTATTTATACAGTTTTTTGTATTCTTTAAAAATGTTACTTGGGCATTTTTCCTTTTGAATTTGATTCACTTGTCCCTGTTCTGTCACATATTCTACTATGTTTCTGATAATATTCACTTCACAATTAAAAACTTCAATCATGCATGGTCCAAAACTCAGTCATTAGATTTGTTTCATGTGTACTTTCAACTGCATAACTTATAAATAAAGTGGAATTTAATGTGTCAACCCAATAGTTAATCTAAAATATAGTAAGCAGGAGCCAGAAGGAAAGATGGTGATTTTTCATTCTAAGATGTCACATAATCTATAATAGAATGAATGAGGCAAATCAGTGGGAGGACTCTGAGGGCTTCACATAATATAAAAACCTGTATGAATCTAAAAGAAATGCATAGGTAACAAAAGTGCCGATAGAAGAAGACCCACTCCATGTTCAGAGAGAAAAACCATGGTGGGTGTAGTGTTTCCTCCGGAGAATCTGGAGATTCTCTCTTGCCTTTTCCATGCTTACTCTGGGTCATGGACCTCCTTGATGTGATAAGATATCCAACAGAAGAAAGAACATCTTGAAAACTGTTTTTTAAATGACAGAAGGAATTCATCAAACATAATAACAACAATATCCATTGAGTTTTCCTTCATTATCTAAGCTGTTTTCTACTAATCCTTTTTCTTAATTCTTATCCCTCATCATACAGCTAAGGTGGGAGGAAGTGCAGTGGTCTCTGTTCACACGTTAACAGCTTTTCATAAAAGTACACAGGACCTAAATTTTTGTTATCTGCTGTGATTTGTAAGCTCCTGATTGAGCCCTTCCTCCCCAATCTCTGGATATCCTACTAGAAACTAAGTACAAAAATCAAAAAGCTACTGGATGATTTACTGGTTCCCTTACAGCCAGCAAAATTTTTCATAGTAGCATATTTCTTCAAAGCCTCCCAAGTTGTTCACAGATATTAGTGCAGCATTCCTTGTAACCATGCTTAACGGGTGACAGAGCTAAGACAGAGCAGCTTACTGGGGTCCTAGAGTCAGGATGAGGGAGCTGTCTTACATCTTCTAATTTTGAGAAACAAACATTTTCCCTTTTCTACTCACTGCTGTTCCCCAGGGAAAGGGAAAAGGGCATTACTCAAGCAAAGTGAAAAATTAGGGAACTAGTCCACCACCTTCCCTCCAGTGAGGAACATTTGAAAATTGCTTTGCCACTGGCCCTTGCACTCTTTTTAAAAATAGTATTTTGGCATCTATGTATACATATCTGCAAAAAATAAAATTGAATAATGCTTTGCTGTTTTCAGCTTCATGTAAAGGCTGCTATGCTGTATATAATATTTTGGAACTTCTAAAACTTCATACTCTGTGGTTAAGTTGCATGTCCATATAGTTCATTCGGTCCTTTTTACAAAATTGAGGTACAATTTGCATTCACTGAAATGCAAAATTTCAATGTTAAAAGTGTGTATAAAGTGAAAAATTTAACTTAATAACTTCTGACTACTGTGTATGCCCACATAACTAATACCTCAATGAAGCCCTCAGACTGAGAAAGAACAACTGGAAAACATGTAAAGGATTTGTATTCAAAATATGTACAGAACTCTCACAGTTCACTAAAAGGAAGATAAACAACTCATATTTTTAATGAGCATAAAATTTGAGCACACACCAAGTCAAAGAAAACCTACTGTGGCAAATAGTCACACGGGAAACTCTGAACATCATTTGTCATTAGAGAAAGGCAAAGTAAATAAGTTACCACTCCACACAAACACAATTGCTAAAACTAAAACAAGTGAGCAAAGGAAAATTGACAAAACCAAGTGTTGACAAGGATGCAGAGCAACTGGATCTCTCATGCGTTGCTGGTGGTAGTGGTAACATGGCACATGGAGTAATCACTCTGGGAAAAAATTTGAAAGTTTCTTACAAAGTTAGTAATGTACGATTCAGCACTACCACTACTAAATCTTTATTTAAAAGAAAAGGAAACATATATCCACACAAAGACCTAAGGGCAAATGTTTAAGGCAGCTTTATTCATGATATCTTGATACCCAAATGTTCTCAATAAATAAATTGTGATATGTCCAGACAGTAGAGTGCTACTTAGCAAAGAAAAGGATGGAACAATTACATGCAGCAACAGGGATGACTCTCAGAAGAATCATCCAAACTGAGAGGCCAGGCATGGAAGCCTACAATTGCTTAAATATGACATAATGGAAAAAGCAAAGCTCTAGGTTTCCCGAGAGATCCTGAAAACAAATCAGTGGCTTCCTGGAGTGAAGCAGTGAAGAAGGAGTCGACTACAAAGGACAAGAATGAACTTTTGGGACTGGTAGAAATATTCTGTATCTCAATTGTGTAGTAACACAAATGCATTGGTTTGTCACAACAAAGAATTATACATCTAAAGAGGATGAATTTTACTGTTTAAATTATATTTTAGAAGGCTTAAAAAATGAACTAAATGTTGGAAAAAACCTACTTTATATAACTAAATAATTGTTGTTAACTATGATAGATAATTATTCCTCCTCCTCTCTCCTATCTGTGAAGAAGAATGCTCCGGTCCTCAGCATTTGGTTGCAAACAACAATGCCCTAATTGTTTATTTTCTAGATTGTCATTTAGGATATGACTTAGTTCAATATCTGCTTGAGTGTGTATGCTTATATTATGTGTATATATATTATGTGGTTGTATATACACACACATATATAACCCACACATATAACGTACTTGATGATTACATTTGCCAGTAGATGGTGATTTCATTAGCTGGAATAATATTAGAGCCATCACAAACTTTTGAGCTGTCAGATTTCAAAAATATAGCTCTTAATAATCAAGGACACAGGAATGTAAAAGAATAATCCTTTCCCCACACACAGGATTACACTTTACATTTTCCTGAACCAATTACAGTGCTTACTTCATAGTCAAAATTAGGGAAACCAGGTATTCTGGAAATTGCCCTTCCACAGTTTTAAACATGCATAAAAATTGCATTAGGCTCAGACACTCTGATTTACTGACAATATGTCTGAGATCCTTATCGATTTAATGCATAGAAGTTAAAATATGTTCTTGCCATTTTTGTTGTGTCTTAGATTCTTGGTCACTATAACCGAGGAAATTTAAGCACTGAAAAATTTGTGGAGGAAATAAAATCAATCGCAAGTGAACCTACTGAAAAACACTTCTTCAATGTCTCAGATGAACTGGCCCTGGTCACCATTGTCAAAGCTCTGGGAGAAAGAATATTTGCTTTGGAAGGTATGACTATTTCTCTCAATTTTGCACATTTTCTCTACAATTCAAACTCAATGCAATGAATTTTTGGTATTTATTCTTAGCACACACCAACACATTTTTACTGTGCACGATAGCCGTGGAACAATCCTCTTTTATATAAATATGTCATTGAGCTGGCTATTTCACATAGAACTGCTAGAAGGTCTCTTTGCAAAGCCTCTTTGTGGGAGCCCACAAACAAAGACAGTGGTCAACCTATGTGCAAGAAGAAAAATGTTCCCATGTGCTTTGTTCCTTTTCTGTGACACAGGTCTAGAATGTGGAGCTACCAGCTCAACTTTTGTTTCTCCATTTGTTTCTTTGTTTCATTAGGGCTGCTATGATGCAATGGCTTCTTTGTTCATTTATTTCCTCTGCTTTTTGCACTTTACACATTTTAAAGGTCTTCAGGGAACTCTGCCTCTAGCCTTGTTGTGGTGAAACTTCTGTTTTCTGTTTGTCTAAATCATGTTGTTTCTTCATAAATTTTTCTTTGATTTTTTTTTCTATGGTGACTAGCTGTTGAGGATTTGAGTCAAGCTATTCCCTCTTCTGCCTTAGGTAAGGGAAGTTGAGTGACAAATTACTTTGGAACTAGATATTTCCTGATTAAAAGTCTTCAGAATTGTTACACCAGGCAAACTGGTAAAGCCTCCTTCATGTTCTCTGATAAACTGGGGGAGAAACCAACAGAGAATTCTTTTGCCTTTATGCTGTATCTATGTAAATTGACTCTCCTCTTGAGGACACACTAAAAGACTCTTACTTATACATCATATAAATTGAAATTTAAAAGCCCACTGTAAGTCTCCCTAACAGAACCTGGTAAAAGAGAAAATGGGAATGAGATATAGCTGGAAAAAGGTGGACCATTTTGGTTGATCATCAGGTGACTAGGAAAATGGCTAATTGAATATTAAAATGCATAGAAATAAAATGTTTTAACCCAATACCTTTCAGTTCTCTTTTGAGTGACCCATGATCTAAAAATGTTTTGCTTTGCAACCTAGTACACGTACATATATGCATATAAAAAAAAGTTTCACAAAATAATTCCGGTTATATGCAATACACTGATCTTTTCCCATCTCTTCCATTTTAATCTATTCCCTTTCAATGAAAAATTCTGGGTACACTCATCCTGTCGATTGTTAAGGTCACAGTTAATACATAGAAAGTGTAATAATCTACAGATGATGGTGAGTGACAGTCCAGCTAGACTGAATATGTCTGACTCCCTTTTGCCCTGCTCATTTTTCCTTGTACCTTTAGAAACAGAACACTAGAATTATTTATCAGCCTGAAATTGCAGGGACTTCTGGAGAGTTCAACTTTCCTGAATTCTGGGTGCAAATCATTTGTAAGAGGCTTTGGTCTTTAAACAGGCATTGTGATGTCATTTACCAGTAGACAAGGTCATAAACTAGCCCACCCTAATGACAGCATGTAAGCTCCTCCAAGTTATTCTATACTTTTAATTTTTGATAGAAAAAGCCAAGAAACAACCTGTAAAGAAATTTAAAAGAAAAACTAGTCAGTTACAATAGATAGCTAAACATAACATAAATAGCATTTATTATATTCTCCTAAATAAACAAGTAAATATAACCTAACTGGCAGAAATGAAGACAACTTCAGCCGGGGTATGGAGTGAAGAATTTACCTGATGTCAATTTACCTGAAATGACTTTTTTAGATTGTTTCTAACCTATCCACACTCATTGGAGTGATTGGAGTGACCTAACACATCAAGAAGTTCTTTATAAATGAAATTGTTTTATAAAGAACTTCTTATAAAAAAAAGTAAAAACATCTCTCCACATCTTTGTTGCAACACTTACTCAGGCTAATCAAATGCAGTGTTTATTTTTTCTTATTGTTTTAATAATGAAGTCAGAAAATGCTTTTTTCCCTGTTGCTTGGGAAATCTCCATTTCCTGTCAACATCTATCTTTAGATGGTAAATAGCTGCAATTGTGAACATCCTGCTTGCCAAGGACAGTGCCACCTAGTGAGACAAGCACACCAAGGACTTGCTTAACTATCAGAAAGTGATTGAAGTCTCCCTTTGCTATCAAACCTTGGGAGGAAAGCTGAAATTCCTAACCAGAAGCTGTGCAGGTTAAGAGTGATTAGCTCAACTCTTGTGAACAGTCAGGGAGGGGTTGAAAATGAGAAACTCGGAAACATAAAACAGTCAATCTTACCACAATGTCAGTGCAGCAGGCAGAATGTCACATAGCTTCTCTCTGTTCTCAGCTAAAAACAACATCAGCAGGGCAGGCATTGAAAACATGCAGCTTTCTACTGCTGCATCCCTGCTATTGGCTTTGCAAAGATAAGTGAGAAAACACCTTAAAGCACCGGGTATTTAAAATACATAATAAACTAAACTGCATCTCAGTCAGAGGGCAATTTGTATAAGAGATTAAAAAGGCATATTTGAATTCCTGACTGATGGCCTCATTTAATCTAGTCCTATAAAAAAGTAATTACCAATCTATTTATTTATAGTTTTATGCCAGTAAATAGGTAGCAAATATGTTTAATTCCACAAATTTGATGATTTGTGGCCTCAGTAGAAGGGCAAGCTGACTTTTTTTTTTAATTGTGTGTTATTTTTAACTTATCTTAAGTCCAAATAAATCAGCAACTCCCTACCGGAGACAAGTAAATCAACATTCCCTCAGTTCCCTCAGGAAATTGTGGCTTTGGGTTTGTGAATATTTTGAGAAAAATTTTCCCTTCCATAAAATGCCCATGGTTGCCTCTGCATTTCATAAAGAATTTCAAAATGAGTACAAGATTCTTTAAAAATGTGCGATCAGATGGTACGTGGCCTGGAACCCTTGAAAAAAGTCCCCTCCTGATCTGGGAGGGATACACATGACCAGTAATTGCAGCAAATGCAAACTGTATCCCTAAATCCTTTATCAAACAAGGGAATTCTGAGCTCATCTGTGGCCTGAAATAAGGGTGAGCCTACAGGGTTGGGAAAACTCTTTAAATTTATCAATTATATCTTATCAGCTCTATAAAGTAGCCAGCAAGTTTAACCCAGGCAGGGCGGTCAAGTCATGAAGATGAGACAGATATTTCCTACTGCAGTAGTTCAACCTCGACAACATGGACACAAAGCACCATGTGACAGTGTAAGAATGGAGATTTCTCCACTTCTCCAGGAAGGATGGGGATGCCAGTGAACAACAATCCAAAGCAGCAGTCCTTGCTAACCTTCTCTGACTTCAATTCAGCCTTACCTAGGAATTCTGGGTTTAGAAATATATAATGAGGATGAATATTGTACAAATAATATATGCACATGTATGTAAATACAAAAATGACACCTGTTTAAACTGTTCCAGGAAGTGGGGGGGGTACTTGAAAGAGAGCAATTGGAGGGGTTGAATTCAAGTATGATATATTTGATACATTGTAAGTACCTTTGTAAATGCTACAATGTACCCCATCCAGCACAACATTAATAAAAAAAAAAAAGGAAGAAATACATACTGAAAATTCCCTGAGATATATTCAAAGTTTTGGATATCACCAGGTCTGAAGCAGGGGTCTGCATCCTGCAAATCAGCAGTGCAGTAAAAGGCATTGTTAGTAATTTACAGTGATATTTTCTACATTATAGCCACAGCTGACCAGTCAGCAGCTTCATTTGAAATGGAAATGTCTCAGACTGGCTTCAGTGCTCATTATTCACAGGTACGTTGGTCACTTACTAGAAAAAGAAGTATCTTTTTTCAACCATCAGTATGACAAGTGAAACTTGCAGTTCATGGTGTGAGCACTTCTGCAGGCTATAATGATCTTTCCTAATCCAAATTGAAAAATGGCATTTCACAAGTTCCTTATTAGGAAAACAATATCTCACACAGCTCACTACATTTTTACCAATAATTGTGGATCAGGCAGTCTGAACTCTGCCTTACCTAATTATATATCTGACTAAATTAAATAACTTATTTGCTAAGAAATAGAATGTATCTTTTTCTCAATGTCAAAGTACTCAAGGGTTTTGCTATAATTTCTTAGAATTCTAAGTCTTAGTCTTCTTGGTATCAAGAAGAAAGTAGAAAGGCAACTATATCATTTATAGTTGGTAGAAGAAAAGACATCATGGTCTGTATAAAGGAATATTGACATTCTGACCTGTAATTGTACTATATAACTTTGGGCAAGGTACTTACTGTGCCTCAGTTTCCTCTTCTGTAAAATGGGGATTGTAATAATGCCATTTAGCCCATAAGGTTACAGTGAGGATGATATGAGTAAACACATGAAAAGCACTTCAAACAGTATCTATATTACATTGTTAATGCTGTATAAGTATTTGTAACAACAAATACTTATTTAATAAATACTTATTTTAATACTTATTTAATACTTTTTTAATAAATAAGTATTTAATAAATACTTATTTTAATAAATACTTATTTAATACTTTTTAAATAAATATTGTTGCTTCCTGCATTTGTGTATAAGGACTGGGTCATGCTTGGAGCGGTAGGAGCCTATGATTGGAATGGAACAGTCGTCATGCAGAAGGCTAATCAAATCATCATCCCTCAAAACACAACCTTTCAAGTTGAATCTACCAAAAAGAATGAACCTCTTGCTTCTTATTTAGGTAAGATTTGAATGGAATTGATAGAAGTTGTTTTTTGGTTTTGGTTTTTTTTTTGATTTTTTATCTTTAGCATTATTTGCTTATTTGTCCATAGATTTTAACCATCTAGGAAGATCACTTTGAAGCATTAGGACTTTTAAAAGGACCCATGAAAGGGTTTAGACCTCTGAACAGCCTGAGTAAGTCCAAGGCATAGAATCTGCAGATCACCCTTTCTCAAAAGGGGTAACTAATGCAGGGAATGGTTGAGGTTGGTATGTGCACTTTATGAGGTGTCCCTGTGTCTGTTTTCTTTGTTTGTTTGTTTGTTTTAATTCAAAAAGAGCTGTGGACTTGGTAGACAGGAAATGAGGGTAGGAAAAGAAAACTTAAATTCACCTACATCCTGAAGACCTGACTCCATATGGTAACTTTTATCCTTAGAGTTTCTTTCTATATTAAAAAAGAGAATTTTAAGTTGTTCTGTCATATGGCTTCTTCTTTAATATCGCTGTTCACAGTCAAGCAAATACTAAGCTTGAATCCTGTGATGTAATGTCATCATGTGTCTTAAAGTCTTGCCAGGAATAAGGAGGTCTGTGTCTGGTACCATGTTATTCAGTGTCTGCAACATCCTGGGGGATGTTTGGCTGTGTGTGCGTGGAGGGGGGAGTCTCTCATCCCTGGACGACAAACTCAGTCAACAAGAGGGCCTAGAATGGAAAGTACCCTCGAGGTGTAGTTTACTAACTCTCACCCAACAAATACTTTTTAAACTTTCCTTTAGCCCTGGGCATTGTTCTTGGTGCTGGGGAAGCCACGGTAAAGAAAACAAATACCTAGTCCTTGAAGTGTTCACATTTTAGCAGTTAGTATTCCTTTGTGGGATCTTTCTGTCCTGGATGTAAGTCTTTTTCTCCCTATATCCCAGTTTCTATTTTATTAGGAAAGTGACAAGTCTTTTCTGGTACCTCCATACATTTCCTTATTCAAGGACACCTACTAGAACTGTAGAAACAGTAAGACTTAGGAAAACTAAAAGACCTTGGCTTTTAGATGACTAAAAATATAGCAAGCAGTAAGGACAATGTGACTGCTAAAACCCTTTACAGCACATTGAATCACGTTGATGAAAATCTAGTCCTCTTTCTCATAGAACTCTTACTACATTCTGCCTTTATCAAAAAGCTTGAATATTCCATTGTTTCAAGCATCACATATTCCAAAGATATAATTACTAAGTAGGATATGCCAGTAAAATATTATTTAGGAAATACATATCTTGAAACTATTCCCTGTTATAAACTCTTCTTCCTTCAAAACTTGAAGAAATTGGAAGCTAGAAAACAAAGTAGCTTTGAAATATTTGGGAGATTGCGATGTAAAACGCAGGAGTTGGGCTTAAAATTCATATTGAGATTTAGCACAAAGGTGTTAGCGTATAATAAAACATCTATTTCTAAATTAAGGAACTAGAGGACACAACAATTATGTCACAGTTACCTGTGGCAGGTCTGAAGCTACACTTAGGGGCTCATGGTTCTTATACCAGTGTTCATTTCACCATATCAAAATGCCCAAATCTGGGTTGATCAGGACAGCACCCCACAAACACTGAATACCTGTAGCGTGCCACACATTGAATTATAGATTGAGAATAACAAGATGAATGAGGCGGATCAATGTCTGCATATTTTTGGCATTAGAAATAATGATGAAACAAGCAATTACTCTAGGTGCTAAGACACAGAAAACCTACAGAGAGGGGTGGAGATTAAATTAAATATCTTCTAGGAGCTCTTCATATTTTAAGATTCTATGAGACTGTTTTATAAGAAATACCTCAGGATCAAAAACTGGTTTAGCCTGAGGCTCCATTTTCTTAGATAGAATAATTATAGAACACTTAACCTCATATGTTATGGATGGCTTATAAACTAGTATAGCTCCTTATGGAAGGCACTTGACAATGTGCTTGCAGAGCCATAAAAACATTCACATCACACTGATTCAGAAATTCTACTTTTGAGAATATAACCCTAAAACAGACATCCAACCTTGAAGAATGATAAGTGAACATTCATTTCCATTATATTAATACTTGTCTGAAGTACACAAAAGTATGGAAATAGGGAAATAAATGGTAAATCTGCTGTGTGGAACATTATGCAGCCATCAAAATAAAAATTATAAAGCTGCTAATACTCTCTTACTAAAGTCACTGAGTGATTATGGTGCTGACTGAACAATTAAAAATACCTGTGAATTATAGAGACTTTGTTTCCTATCTTTGCCTCTGTGGCCTTAGGCAAATTACCCTGCAAATCTTTAATTTGTTTATTTCAAAAATGGCAATAATTACACTGCTTAAGGAATTTGGGTGTTTACAAAGATTACATTAAATAATGACTATGCCTGACGACAGGCAATCTTTTACTTTATTGTTGTGTAGTATTGCATAATAAGCATTCCTCCTAGTACTGTCATGGTAAATAGAATAATAGCTCCCAGAGATATCCATGTCCTAATCCCTGGGCCCATTAATATGTTATATTACATAGTAAAGGACTTTGCAGGTATAATTAAGTTAAGGATCTTGAGATGGGAAGATTATCCTGGGATATCTGGCCTGGCCCAATGTAATGAAAGTGTCCTTAAAAGGTTCCCGTGGCCAGGTGCTAGTGGCCCACGCCTGTAATCCTAGCTACTCAGGAGGCAGAAATCAGGAGGATCACAGTTTGAAGCCAGCCAGGACAAACAGTTCGTGAGACCCTATCTCAAAAATACCTTATACAAAAAGGACTGGTGGAGTGGCTCAAGTTGTAGGCCCTGAGTTCAAGCCCCTGTACTGGAAAAAAAAAAAAGTGCCAGTGAACCTTTCCTAGATGTGGTCAGAGGGAGATAGAACTATGGAAAAAAATGGTCAGAGAGATGCAATGTTGTTCGCTTTGAAGGTGGAGGAGGGAAACACCAGCCATGGAATATGTGTGGTCTCTAGAAGCTGCAGAGAGCCAAGAAATGGATTCCCCCGATAGCCTCTACAGAGGAACACAGCCTTGCTTGCTTACATTTTGGCATAGAGAGAACTACGCCAGACTGCTCACTTACAGAATTGTAAGATGATACATTTATGATACCATAAGCCACGAAGTTTGTCATAACTTTTTACAGCAGCAAAAGAAAACTAACACAGGTGTACTACATATAATAAATAACAAATTGCTGGCATTAATAATATTACTACTAAGTGTTAAGTATTTTAGAAAATTAAAGATATTGGGTGAGGTCCACAAACGTGTGTGACATGGCTGCTACTCTTATAAAGTTAACATATTTTGATTATTAATTTAACAAATACTACAGTATTTTCTTTTGGTACTGAGTTGTGATTATGTGATTAAATTCCTTAAAAACAAGCCCTCAGAATGCTCAATCTCTTAATCCTAAAAGCTTCAGTTAATGGTTGATTAAAGCAGATATAGAAATTTAAAATTTAAAGATGTCACTATAAGTAAGAAAACATTAAAACAGTCTTCATTCCCTACTTCAGTACTTATATGACTCCTCTGGTTAATTATACCTCAGTAAAGCTGGAAAAAGTACCAGATCAACTGTATTTTTCTGTTGCTATTTTAGCCACAAGTTAGGTATAAGATATTTTGTCAACATAAAGTCTAACGTGTGTAAGATTTCTTTCAAAGTAAAAAGGCACCCATAAAGGGAATACGTAGCCTACAGTTTTATTTGTCTTCCAAATATTATTCTAAATCTGATGAGGCTTGCAAATGTATTTCCTTGTGCAGATTACAAATTAATAAGAGACTGAATGTGCTATTCTAAAATTTGGGTGGATTGCAGGTTGTGGAACCATAGAAAATCTGAAGTAAGAGGTAGATGCTCCATGAAAAAAAATCTTGTACTAATCAGCAATGATCAGAATGAAGTAGGAGCAGAAGCTGTTGAACGTCTCTCTCAGGATATAGCCGCACATCCATCTTTCTGTAACCCAGTAACCTGCCTCAAGATGCACTTAGCAACTGAGTCGGGTGGTTACAATATAGTGAAGATGCTTCTCCCTGCCTTCTCCACCCACAGTCTGCAAATTTCTAATCCTGCCAGACAGATTACAAAGGAATAATAAAGAGTGAGGCAAAGGCATGGAATCAAGAAAGATCACACCTGCTTCCCAGTCCCTCACTAGAGTCGCACACTTCTTAAATTATGAGCACTGACAATGTTTATTCTTTACAAATCCATGCAAAGGCTGTGCCATCCATTTTGTTTTCTCTTACATCTTGTGCTTTTCTTTTTTAGGAAGCCATATTAAAGTTTTAATGTTCATACTTATTTACCTTTCATTGAAATGGGCTTTGCTTTCTTTTTTCCCCTTTACTGGCTTTAAACACCTGAGCCACAATGAGAAACTACTGTGACTGATAGTTATTGTGCTGTGATATATCAGTTACTATTTTTAGTTACCAAATGCAAATTATGAAGCTTAATTAGCTAAATAATCACACAAATCCAAGCTACAAATATAATTTTCAACTTATTGAAAGGGTCATTTATTAATTTGCATTTATAATTCTGAAAAGTATACAGCATAGTAATCAACATCTTCTCACTTATCCCACTTTCTTCTTTATGTTTCTTAGTAGAAAAGTGTAAAATAATACAGCTGTTTTTTTGCACATTCTTCTTTTCCATTTTATGGGTGCATAAACATGACCCTAAAGTTTCCATTTTTAAGCCATATTGTGGTTAGTAATATAAAAGTATAATACATAAAACATTATGTGTTTGAAAAAGAATATTGCATATTCAATTATGTGTAACAACAAAAACTCCTCAAGATGAAGAAATAAGAATGTGAGAAAAATATTTCTAAAGGATAATATACCTGAGTAATTGTGTTCCCTTAGCACTTGCAAGAACAAACACATTTTTTGCACAAAACCCTCTCTTCCTTTTTGTAAAAACTTGGAAGAAAGGAATTATTATCTTATAATAAAATACTTGACAAATGAGTTAGCAATATGATCTTTTTGTCAGTTAGAAATGTTATTCTGTGGCACTTTGAAAAATAACGTGCCTTCTGTTCCACTGATGATCTGCTCTAGGTATTAGAACTTTTTCCTTCTGGAGACTTGAAATCAACATGTTGTAATTTTTACCCAATAATTTAGCTCTTAAGACACAAAGAATAAATCTAATTCTTTACTCAAATAATAATGATAATCTGACTTAAAAACAATTTAACTTCTTCCCATAATTGACCTGAAATGATCTCTCAAAATGGTGTGATATGCCTCATACTCAGAAGACATTCAAATCATGCAAATCATATGTTCAAGTCTTCACATTCACTTTGAGAACATCTATGAAACTTCCAGCCCATCAAGGCTATGCATCTCTGAAAAGCTACCAAGTACCTGGCTTTACAGTTGCATTGTATGTCCTTTCCTCACTGCAGTGGTAAAGTTGTCAAGCCTTGGACAGAGAGGGTAGATGTCCAAAAAGAGTGTTGAAATTTTGCTACACGTGCTTAAAAATAGAGGGCAATGCTGACCTTGATGGGCTATAGGTAGATTCCTTGGTCATTGAGCAATCCAGGTGAAAAATCTACCTATAATACACTGGCTGTACTCACAGACCTCATGGTGCTCATGACAGTAAAAGCAGGAAAGAAGACAATTTGAAGTTTTAAGGACATAAAGACTCAATTTAAAAAAAGAATGATCAGTCTTATGAAAAAATCCTCACTATTAATCAGACAAATGAAAATTGAGATCACAACAAGGTACTATTGTTAGACTATATATAGATTGCTTAACATCTATTAAAACATCCAAAAATTTAAATTAAATTAATGCAGAATGTCTAGGAGTATTTAATGGTACTGTTTCTCATACAAGTGTTCATAGAATAAATTAATATAAATGGTCTGGAAACAATTTACCAAACATTGTAGCAACCATTGAAAGCTCGATCCAATAATCTATTCCTTGAAATTTACCATAAAAAATCCAACAGAAGAAAAAAATTAAATGCTCAAAGTTGTTTTTATAAAAACATGCAAATTTCAGTATTCCATCAGGGAATAGTTAGGTCATGCAAGCAACACCTTAACCTTCAGTCACTTAAAATTATAATTTAAAAATCTAGGCAGCATTATAGAAAGTATTCATATTTTTATAATTCCAACTATATAAAATTATTACTGTTTATAGCATGGACCCTTATATCCAAATGAAATATAATTGACTTATTTTAAATGATGAACTGAAGATTGTGTGTGTGCCTTTTTCTCTGTATCATCACTGATAGTTCATTTGTCATTTAAAACAATGAAAAACTGAGGTGTGGGGGAATACCTATTCAGAACAGTAAGTAAAGGTAAATAGTCAGACACCACATTAAAAGCTTTAAAAACAAAGTGAATTCTTACATTCATTTAAAACAATATTGCTTTCAAAAAAGAGAAATCCACATGAAATATAAAAATGATTATTGCGACCATTAAAAATCATCCATAATATATTACATGCAGACTTTAAGAAACCAGATGTGGATCTGGAATCTTTCTTTGGTTAGGTTACACCGTGACCTCTGCCACAGTCCCTGGAGATGTGCTGTATGTCGCTGGACAGCCTCGGTACAATCACACAGGCCAGGTCATCATCTATAGGATGGAGGATAGAGACATCAAGATTCTCCAGACACTCAATGGAGAGCAGGTAAACTTGAAAATAGTGTTTTAAATTAATCTGTGCATACTCCATGTTACTTCATGTTCTCCTAATCTTTTTAAAAAGCAATGCCCATGTATCAATATTCACTGTGAACAGGGACACCTGTTAGGATCTTTGAGGGATATAAAGTATTTGCATCTTTGACTTTATAAATATTTCACTTGGAAAGAGGTGAACTTGAGATGAACAGATAATAGATGTAGATTACAGATGTCTAAAATATATATAAGAAGAGAGATCTAAAACATTAAGAAGCATGAAAATGCCTATGACACCAAGAGTGTGTTCAGAAGACAAAAAGATTGCCTTAAGCTAAAATTGGTGCAGAAAAACTTAATAACAGATAAAATTTGGACCAAGTCTAGAAGGGAAGCTAGACTATAGAGAAGTAGAAAGAGAAGTGAAAAAAGAGTTGAAAAGGTAATGTGGATCCCAGTTGCATGAAGTTTTGAATGACAAACAAAAGACTTTGGATTATATTCCAGAGTTAATAGAAAGTTGTTTGTAAAATATAAACTTGGAAAATGATTTTAAAATAAAATTAAGTATTAAAAATTATTTAGGACATTATTCATGCAATTTGCAAATATTAATATTTGTAATATTTCTAGAGTGAAGGAAATATCAAAGTATGCTGTTTCTTGGTTAGTTTTGAGTAGCAATAACTTGGGTAAACTTTGTCTCCTTTTCATATTTTCTGTATTTTTCAAGTATTCTAATAATGAGAATTTATTACTTTAGTCTGTAGTCCTCAGTGGGAGGTTTTCTTAGGCTTCTGTAAACATTTCGACTTAGTAATCTAGGAGGACCCAGCTGCATCATTCTTCCTCATCTGCAGGAGTCCTGGGTGCAGCACAGCACAAAACACAGCCCAGGTGCCAGGGGCGCTCACATCAGGCAGGTTCAGGAGCTGCCCTGGCTCTCAAGCCCAGTGCTCTACAAGAGCCCTCACCGTTATGTCAACAGCACAGACACAGCTTCCAGGGGTTCTGGAAAGACCATGCTAGTTACAATAGTCACAGCTCTCCTAAAAGCCAAAAATACTCATCCCCATCAGGTTGCAGAGCTCACTGATGATTCCACATGACCTAGATGCAACATCCTAACCAGAGTTAGTTTTCATCACTACCAATATTTCCTAGAAATGCAGTTGGAGTCCTATGCTCAGCAGATTCTCAGGGGGAATCTTAGACTATACGTGCAGTCAGAGTCTCATATACCAGGTGAAAGGGTTTCATTAACTCTTAGCCACATTTACATTCAGAAACTGCACCAGTAATAAAAAGAAGTCTATTGTTGTAGCTCAAGGGTGAGGTAAGAAGAACCTAAATGATGCAACAATAAAAAGTGGAAAAGGAAGGAATATAATGAATATAATAGATACAAATAACAAGGAATTGAAAAAAGAGAAAAATGAAGTATTTTTTTGATGATATTGTAGGTCCATTATCTGCAAATGTAGGGAAGTATAAAATTTTGTGGAAAAGAAAATGTTGTGCAAGTAGAGGAGAGTACTTCTCCTCTAAAAATCATGGATGATTTCAGCTTCAAACCTGAGAATGTGAGAGAAAGGTGACTCCATGATTAAAATGTCAACAGCTCAAGCAGTTGAGGTACTTTTAGAAATGGGATTAGACTTTAGACACATTTCCTTCAACAGTGAACACAAATTCTGATGCTTCTGGGTCATAAGTAAATTAAAAAAAATTCCGGGTCAATGAGTAAAACTAGGCACAAGACATGAGGAAGAGTAGGGGAGAGGGGACAACCCATGGTCCTGGGCAACTTCTGAGCTCCCTCTCAGCTCCAAAGGGCCATTGCCATTGAGAATGAAAGTCCAATATTGCCAGATCTCACAACAATTGTTTTAAAAATTGTAATAAAATTGTTTTAAACATTTAAACTCTTCTAAAGTATATTAAGAAGTATCTTCAAAAATATATTCAAAAGCATACCTCACATTGTCTATATGTCTAGAAGCATAGGAGAATGGAAAGCAAGCCTATAGGTCTGAGCTGTAGAGGAGATCAAAATTTAGGGGTTGGGAAGAGTGAAAGGAGCCACAGAGATGAAATGAAAGGGTTGCATGTGATATAAGAGCAGAGTCATGAGAGAGCAAAAAAAAGTCATAGAAGAGAATACAGGAAGGGTCAATAAGATAAGTATCAAGAGTGTCAAATAATAAGCAAAGATTAACATCTGATAAAGCGATTTAAGCATTTACATAATGAAAAGCAAGTCCCATGCTTTCCCCTAAAACAGACACCTATCTTTAGAAGAGAAAATATGTTGTATCAAGGAGATGGTCGCCCTGCATTCCTTTCATATTTTTCTCTCTCAAAGCTGTTGGGACAAGTCTAAGCCATGGTTGAGTAGACAATTTTCTAAGACCAGAAGGTAAAATAACTGCAGGAACATTCAATACTTCCTTTTAGTGTATTTCATATTTCTATATCCCTACATTTGAATATATATGAAACCATTACAGAATGCCTTCTCTTTTTTTATCTCATTTTAGTTCCTTGAAAATTGCTTTATTATTAATGATCTGACTTGAAGATAAGAAAGAACTGTTACAGGGTTAAATCTAAACTGAATCATTTCTGCTACTCTCCAGTTATGAAATCTATAACAACTGCCCATCCTCAAAATTGAGATTGGCTGACATTCTTCCGCCTAGAGGGTGTTCAGCTAGCACTGGTTTCTATATTTCATTTCTTTTGTCAACCAATCTCAACTTCTTCTACTAGGTTGGCAGAAGTAACTTCCTTGAGAATTTCTGATGTTCACTGGGCTGTCTTGCTTTGTCTCGTTTCTCAGATTGGTTCCTACTTTGGCAGTGTTTTAACAACAATTGACATTAATAAAGATTCTTATACTGACACGCTTCTCATTGGAGCTCCAATGTACATGGGAACAGAGAAAGAGGAACAAGGAAAAGTGTATGTGTACACTCTGAATCAGGTAATGGTATCTGAGTTTGGTAGAAATCCAGGAAAATCTTTCCCTTCCCTTCAGTTTTGAATAATGCAGTTCTAATTTTTCATTCACTTTGAAAAATATGAGCCAAGGAGTTTTCAGGGTCTGTTCACCCCAGCAGCTACTCAGTTTCCACAGGGATATACAGAATTCTAATGAAGTAATTCCAACCTTAAGTATTTTCTGCTTAGAAATGTAAAGTATGTTTTTTACCAAAACATATAAGATAAAGAAGACAAATGCAAATCTCATTAAACTGCTAAATAAACCCACCCATACACTATTCATATGTCCTAGGGTGATAACATTAACACTTTAAGTGAGTTGGGAGGTGAGAGAGAGGTAGCTTCAAAGCAGTCAAGTTTCCAGGAATCACTGTGGTCTTCAGAATACTTTCCTGAGCTGGAATGATTTTGTTTTCCATTCCTGAATTTAGATGTCATTTCTTAGGTGAAATAATTCTTGATTTCTTCATTTAATGAATATTTTGCTGTTTACAGAAAGGCCAGTGTTTAGCTATTTAGGTTTTTAAGTCCTTAGATTTTCCTTCATGTGAATTCTTTTAAATCATATATTGGGTGTCATTTTTCCTATCATGTTTTTGACTTTCTTCTGTCAATTTGTGTTGTTGGTCCCTCCTCATTCCCCCAAAGAAATGTACTGTTTTCCACCTCTGCTAGTACTTTCTGTCCTTACTGGGTTGTTTGTTTGGGTTTGGGTGTGTCGGGGTGGAGACAGGGTCTCCTATATGTCTCAGGCCGGCCTAGAACTCGTGATTCTCCTTGCCCCTACCTCATGTGAGTCCTGGGAACACAGGCGTATACCACCATGCCTGCCCAGCATGTGTGCTTTTTTAACAAAGTACATTTACATTTACTCTTTGTCTTAAAGTGAAAAAAGGAGAGATAGAAACTTATCAAAGAAGGACAATGTCGGGTGAAGAAGGGATAGGAGCACAAATTGTGTATTTAAAATCTCAGTTCATAGACTTTAAAAAGATGTCAATTACACATTCAACTGCATTTTTTTAAAAAAGACTAAAATTCTCAGTATGCCTTCTTTCTTGTACTTCTATAGTCTATTCTTTGGAATTATTAACTTTACTCTCAAAATAGGCACACATTTTAAGAAATTCCACAAACTTTGCCACTGATTTACAAATAAATGGTTTTTAGTAGGACTTATTTAGCATATACTTGAAAAACTTATTCAGCTGTAATAGTGATAGAAATCTCTACGTATCCTGTTTATCTTTTCTCCAGACAAGGTTTGAATATCAGATGAGCCTGGAACCAATTAAGCAGTCTTGCTGCTCATCTCTGAAACACAATTCATGCACAAAGGAAAACAAAAACGAGCCATGTGGGGCTCGTTTTGGAACTGCTATTGCAGCTGTAAAAGACCTTAATGTGGATGGATTTAATGACATCGTGATAGGAGCTCCTCTGGAAGATGACCACGCAGGAGCTGTATACATTTACCACGGCAGTGGCAAGACCATAAGGAAAGAGTATGCACAAGTAAGATGTTAAACCTGCAGGTTCTTTCCCTTCAGGGCTAAGTGGGTTCAATGCCAGGCATTCAATGCCTGCCTTGCTTTATGAACTTATTTAATTTCTTTCTTCTGACTCTGTTGGGAAACTAGATGTAATTTTCTCATAAGTGTTCTTTCTAGAGGAATTACTTTGTACTTTATACTTTTATCTAGTTTTTTTTCTAGTTATTTTTATCTAGTTTTTATGCACCAGGTCTCCAGGATCAGATCTTTTGAAATGGTAAAAAGCAAAACAAACAAAAGAACGCTTCTTAACAATGCTATTTAACATCTGTAGTATGTTTGATCCTAAGAGGGGAAACTCCTTTCTGAATAAAAGACCAATAATTATATGATTTAGCCAATGAAGATGAGATTTGTTTTTATATTCAGTATCTGTGTTGTTATAATAAAATTACATTAGATTTATATTTATGAATTAAATTGGTATATTTTCATCAAATGGATTTGGGTTTCTGAAGATCTATAATTTTCTCACAAGTAATCCTTCTTGGGTAAAATTTGAATAATTAAGCCTAGCCCACAGGGGATTTTGTTGTTTCTGTTTCAAATTTATACTCAGTTAACAGCTCTAATCTATAAATTTAATTTCTTTATACATGAGAAAAATATAAATTTACAGAAATGCTTAATGCAGTATAAAACAAGGGAGCTTAAAGGAATTCTGATGTTTTATACAGTTCGGCTTTGAACAACTTCTTGGGAATAACATAACTTAGCTTTCATTGCTTACTTCAGCACTTTCAGCTTATAAACCGTGAAAGAAATCAGAACATTAATCATCTGTTTTTTACTTTTGAGTGGTCTCTCTAGTTCTGCAGTCCACAGAGGTCTCAAAACCTTCATGTATTGTGAAGTTGTGTTAAGTGCTTAATAAAGTCATAATGGCGTTAACAGTGATTAAATAAAGGTCTATGTTGGTAACAACACTTTTCAATTGATAAATGATTTGTTTCTGTTACAAATATTCATGGCATTATGGACATGACAGAACCAGAAAATACACTAAGAGGTTTCTCTCTTTTGTTCTGCTTTATTCCTTCAGTATTCTATAAATTTAATAGAAATAAAGAGATTTTAATCGTTTAATGAGATATATTGTTATAAAGCAATCTACTTTTTGTAAAATAGTGGTACATCAAGATGCATCATTAAATAAAAATAACAAAGCAGAGTATTAGATTTGTCTACTTATTGGCAAAATGATTTCCAAAGGGATGCATGAGGATGTGCTACTGATTTCCATGGGAACCAGAAGTGCTGCTAATGTGCACCCCGAACCACATGGAATCACCTCCTTCAGGACTGATGAGGCAGATATCTCCCAATTTGCTGAAAGAATATGGAAATATTTCCCAATGAGATTCACAAGTTGAAGCATGAAAACCATTTCCATTTGGCTTGCCTTATTTGGCTTCTTAATTTATGATATTTAAAAGAAAAACAAGAGGATGAGAAGACACCAAGTTTAGGAGTTTCTGTCAGTTCTGTCTCCTTGTCATCAGGGTCTGTCAAAATAGTATCAGCTTGCACCAGCACTAATGTCAAGAAGTAATGCAGTAATATTTTGGACATGGATCACACGCTAAGGGAAGAATGTGTACAGGAGGAATAGGGAAAGGTAGGCCACCCAAAACTTGAAAGTGTTTGATGTGCCCACTGTAGAGGAGTTAATATAGTAACCTTAAAACGACAGAAGCCACTATGGGAAGGTGACCGGGAAGTAGTGAAGAGGTCAGGTAGAGATGAATCAATTCAAGTTGTAATACACTTGTGCATGGAAGCAAAGCTAGGAATCTCTCTGTATAGCTATCCTTACCTCAAGCTAACAAAAACACTATGTCTTTCTTATTATCTCTTATGTTTTCTCTTCAACAAAATTGGAGAAGAGGGCAGAACAGGTTCTGCCTGGAAGTGAGGGGGATGGGGGGTAGGGGGGAGAGAGGACCCAAACAATGTATGCACATATGAATAAATAAAAAATTTAAAAAAAAAGAAGTATAGATACCATATATATCTTGTGTGGCATGTATACAAAACAACCTTCAGGAACTCCATATTCACTGTGCTTTCCATACATTGTGGATGGATATGAATGGAGTTGGGTCTATTGTGACCTCAACTTTTAAGACGATTTTTGACAGATTGCAAAGAAGATTACATATTGGAAAATGTATTTGATGGAATGTATTGATTATTCCCAGCCATAAAGTTCAGTGACCTTCATATTAACTCCTGTAACAATCTTCCACTCCCCCACTTGCTTATACAATATGTTTCTAAGGTATGCAGTTCCTTTAAATATCTCACTATAATGGGAGTGAAATAGAACTAGAAAGTAGAGCCAGTTACTCCCAATGTTTCCCTGGAGCATTAGGCAGATGACCTATAATTATTTTCCCTCACTCTGGTCTCAGTAACCCTGAAATTATTTTATCTGTACTACTGAAAGAACAATATCCTTTGGGAACATCTGAGAATGTCCTCTTGTCTCTACATGACGGGACTCTTGGTTCCCAAAAGATCTCTAATTTTAATATTTTTGTTAACCAATCTAACTTCTCAGCTTTATTTGAAACTGTCCTGAACAGACTCTTCTGACATAAAACTCTCTGCTGGGATTTTCACAGCGTATTCCATCAGGTGGGGATGGAAAAACATTGAAATTTTTTGGCCAGTCTATCCATGGAGAAATGGATTTAAATGGTGATGGCCTGACTGATGTGACTATCGGGGGCCTTGGTGGTGCTGCCCTCTTCTGGTATGTATTTTATAACATCTGATTGATGTGATAGTATTTTACAGATAAGTTTCAGATGCTCATAGTAAGATTGGAGCTCTTGCCATACTAAATGTTTGTTTCCTTTTATGCACCATTATGCAGATGCCGGTTGCTCAGGTGAATAAGTTGGAAGAGTCAGTGAATCTTAAGAAGCAAGACGCTATATTAAAAGAACAAATTAATTTGGTTGTCTGTTATGAACTTAACACTGAAATAGATATTCTGTTTGGGGGGGAGTTTGAGTTGGTTTTAGGGATAATTGACTTCATTCATTTACCTGATTCACAGTAGACCAGGCTTTATTGACAGCAGAACAAACCATACAAGGACACTGGGACATACAGACTAAGTGTAGCAGTACTAAAACGGGGATTGACATAGTATACATATTGCAGCCAATAAGCAGAGGCAGTCAAAGATGAAACAGTGAGAGCCCAGTCACATGTACTAGACTGAGCCATAGACCCTACAAAGATCTAGTTAGGGTAGAGAGGATATGTAGGGCAGACATTACTCAAAACAGCTTCGTGCCTGGAGAGTCCATATTGCTATTTGTCAACAAGCATTTCAAAGGCTTAAAATATTCATACTTATTAACAAGGAAGTTACTTCCTAAAATAATTTAAAGGTATAATGTAGAAATATTGTTAAATAAGTATGATCTTTAGAGCTATTATAGTACATGTAATAGACACTTTTATAGAAATAAATAAATCTAAATATCCAGTGGGAGATGACTAAATACATAGACTATGGCATATGCATGCACTGCTTTAGTAGATAGCCCTTAAAAATAATGTTCTCAGAAAAAGATAAATATTTGAAAGTTGTTCATTATAACTTAAAAATATGCATGCATATATTCATATCTTTTTGTGCTTGTGTGAGTATATACAGTATGTTTGTAAGTATACAAATGCAGCTATCCATTCTGTAAAGAACAAAACACTAACGGTACTAAATGTTAATGGTGATTATTGCTAAGTGGTAGAATTGTAAGGCATTTGTGTGTTCTTCATGCATTTCTGTGGTTTTCATCTTTTCTATGAGCACATTGTTTTTTAAAAATACTCACTTTTTAAAAATCAAAAACATAAGGAGAGACCTCAATATTTAGAAGATACTTGGTTATAAAGAGCCAGTTACAGCCACATGACAGAAAATAAGTAAACAACAATTACTCTCAGTTGATTATAAAGTAGTGGCCTTGGGTTCCACATAGTCTTCCTGCCTAAGGTCTTACTTACTCTGCTTTAATTTTATATTAGTGGAAATCACTGGGGTTTAGAGTTAAAAGGACTGAGTTTCAGTCCTAATTTTTTCTTCTTAATAGCTTTTGACCTTGGATAAAATATTTATCCTCTCAGAGTCTCAGTTATCTCACATACAAAACAGAGATGAATGTGCATTCTAAGACCACCAGTAGATGCCTGAAACTTCAGATAATACCAAAACCTGTATACAAGAATTGTGATACCACAACAGGTGATCTGATAACTCAGATTGTTACTAAGTTACTAATGGGCAGATAGTATATACAATGTGGTTATGCTGGACAAAGGGATGATTCACATCTCAGGCAGGACAGAGCAGGAAGGCCTAAGGTTTTATCTTGCTCAGAACAATGCACAATTTTAAAATTATGAAGTTCTTTCTGGAAGTTTCCTTTTATTATTGTTGGACCACAAATAACTGAAAGAGTGGAAAGCAAAACTATCTATGGATAGTGTTGTATGTGTTGTGTTAGGGGGAGACTACTGTATTTCTTATTATTAAAATTAACTTAAGACTTAAATGAAACAAACACACCATGCCTTAAACAGCATTCTTTTCCTTCTACTTCCCAGAAACAGAAGCAGGGCTGAACCCACAAAAAACAGATAAGTATCAACAGTCAGTCTGGCTGGAAACCAGTAGGGACAAACTAGTTTTCTACCTCTCTCCGGATCATTTCCACACTAGAAATAAATTCAGAGATCTCTAAAGTATAGTTGTGGTTCTGAGCTTGGACCTGGGCACTTGGTTCCATCTCTTTTCCATCACAAGCAATTTAGATCTTTGTGTGAACCAAAGGTTCAAGATGGTTCTAAAACAATCTGAGTCTCCTCAGAACATAGATCAAAGATCATACACCAAGGAGAATCTCCTTGGATGAACTCACATTGCCCACCCAGGTTCTCGACATTCATTAAATGTAAAAATGTGTGAGTAATCCCTGTTGTTTACATGTTTGTAGGTCCCGAGATGTGGCTGTAGTTAAAGTGACCATGAATTTTGAACCCAATAAAGTGAATATTCAAAAGAAAAACTGCCGTGTGGAGGGAAAGGAAACAGTGTGCATAAATGCTACAATGTGTTTTGATGTGAAATTAAAGTCTAAAGAAGACTCCATTTATGAAGCTGGTAAGCATAATAATTATAACAATTATTGGGAAGAGGATAGTGCATTTGCTCCAGCATGATGAAATCCAGTAGGACATTATATTTCAACCACAATGAACTGAACATTACATTTGCCCATGATTATGTTGAACCTTCAAAGCAGTTCTGCTGTAAAAGAATAGATTACAGAACCCAGTAAATTCTGGAGCAAAAATTACCTGCTCGTATGCAATGATCTCAACATTCCGTAGTTCCCTATGGCTGTCTTATTTACTATGAACAATTGGGTGTTTATATAATATATATGTTAATATATATAGGTCCACACTGTAGATAGATAGATAGATAGATAGATAGATAGATATAGACACTATATAACCACTTGAAAGGCAGCATTTAGAAATGGACTCCAAAGGAGTTAAGTTTTCCTTCCTGTGGATTTTCACTAAGAAAAATGAAGTAAGTGAATAAGAAAAGCCATTAATTGTTAAAATTATTTTTCTTAATTTTCTCTATTTGTGCACATTAATGCTCTGAAATAGTTCCATGACCAGAGGATACCTGAGATACAGAAATGTAAAATAAAATTTGGGTTTTCATATGCAACACTAGTTCAGTCTTATTTAATTTTTATTTAAAAATAGCATCAAATAAGATGAAGTCCTCATATAATTATGGTTTCACTTGCTTTTTTATGTGGTATGATTATCTGATTGAACAAGTATGTATTCCCAGACAGTTCTAAATTAGAAAATATATTTTAAAAACAAATCTAGTAAACATAGACATGCTCAGTAAATTAGGTGTATGTGTACATTCTCAGTAACTACAATTAAGTCTTAAGTACAGAGAAGAGATCTATAGAGTTCTTCAAGGTTGTCTTCATGATTACTAATATTATTGCATTAAAATTATGAGGATATACTAAATAATAAGACATTTTATTGATAGCTCAGAAATTTTTTTATAATGCTGATTTACTGAGTTGGATCATGTGAAAATTACTCCCAAATAAATGTCTGTCAGTTTTTCCTTCATTTTAATTGTATGTTTTGTATTGTATTTTTATTCTATAAAGATATGCAGTACCGCGTCACTCTAGATTCACTAAGACAGATATCACGAAGTTTTTTCTCTGGAACTCAAGACAGAAGGATTCAAAGAAACATCACAATTCGAGAATCCCAATGCACTAAGCACTCCTTCTACATGTTGGCAAGTAAATCATATACTATAGTTGCCTTATTCCAAATTGAGAATATTGTATAGATTTCTCATTTCAAGTCTGTCAAGTTCTTACTGTTTTATTTCAAAGTGCACATTATAAAATGAACCACAAGTCCAATTTCCTCACTTCTAATACACTTCATAAAACTATCTTTCATTTCACTGTGTATATCAAATAGCCATATATTATGGACTAGCGAAAGACACAAAGTAGTTGATAGGAGGCCTTATTCACTTATGCATTTCTTTCACTCACTCATTTATTCGTCTAACTTAAAAGTGTCAGTGAAGTTCTGTAGGTCTCATCTCTCAAGCACACATAAAAAGAAAAGTGATTCATGGCCCTGAGGACAAACTCTTAGGCCTTATGTTTTCTGGGGCCCATTGAACCACAGGTCTTGCTCTTTGACTTTAGATTGGAGAAGAAAAATATCTATTTTTTTCTTATCCTCTCGGCTTTGTACTATTTTAGTTTCTATTTTAGTGGATGAGTGATGCTGAGAAAGCAAATTATTTGTCTCTAGAGGTCATTGCTAAATCAATTTGAACCAATTTTAATGAATTTAAATGATTGTTTATGTGGGGAGTGTTCCCAACTGAAGACAGGAGTTTCTGAAACATTTTTTTAAACTGTTCATGAGAATAATTTGTATTAAAAAAAAAAAAAGCACAGTGAAAGTAATGAATGAAATGAAGAAAACACTGATTTTAGTACCTAAGATCAAGACATAGAGACTTTAACATGATCTTGAAGTTTCAAAGGAAACAGGTTAAGTTTCCTAACTCTGACTTACTTCCTGATTCTTGTTGTATTCATCTTCTGTATTTTGAAATTGATAGCTAGGGACAGGAAAGTGAAAGAAAATGTGCATCCTGGCATGCCACATTTACTCTTCCTCACTATTTCCCATGACACATATCAAAGCAAACTTATTCTATTAACACTAAAATCATCAATCTGTCATAGGAAAAAACAAATCTAGAGTCATCCCTCATATTTAGGTCACCAGACAGAACATGTAGGAAGTAAAACCTGTATAAAATTTGATGGGCATAAAACAGGTCTGGCACTGCTTTCAGCCTGCTAAATTGATTTTATTTATGTTTGTCTACAAGTTCAGTACCTAAAACTATGTCTAGGGACTAATGTTAGAAGGAATAAACTAGTTTCAGAATTCTTTTGGATGTTAATGGACATTTTATCATTTATTCTGGAGTCGGGGTAAAATTTGTATCCCAGCTTCCCCATGTTCGGAGTAACTTCAGTAAAGTCAGTTAGTCTTAGAGGTTCAATTTGTTGTTTATAAAATAAGTACTAAGAAAATTTTCTTTCTGAAGTTGGGAGACTTCAGAAGTATTACTTAGTGATTTTTACCTTGAGGTCTTGAGAGAAAGGTATTGTTATTCCAGAAGCTCAAAGTGATTTATACTGGCAAGCAAGGTACCATGTATCCCATCACTTCTTAGAAGCTGCATGTGAGTCAAGTGGTCAAACTCTGAAGCCTCTGCTTTCTAGTTGTGTCCTTTGTCAAAGCAGAAAGACTATCCCCCTCCAGCAAAGCAAAAACCCAAGGAGGTTGTATATCAGGTCAGGAGCATGAATATGTTCCATTAAACCACAGCAGTAAAAGAAAGCCACAAGATGATCAAAACATCTAGTAAATATACCAATATGTTTTATATTTCAACCTTTAGGATAAACATGACTTTCAGGACTCTGTGAGAATAACTTTGGATTTCAATCTTACTGATCCAGAAAATGGGCCTGTTCTTGATGATTCTCTACCAAACTCAGTACATGAACATGTAAGTCAGATTTTTTTAAATTCAGAATGCCTATTTGTGAATATATTGGGAAAAAACTGGAAACACATAAACATATAACCCTACATCAATTGTGTGTGTATGTGTATGTGTGTATGTATGTAAAGAATTAGACTCTTCTATACATCTCCAAATCCTAACTGCCATTGCTAGAGTTTAAGTAACCTACAAAATGATGTTAATTTGTAGCTCACCTGGATTTAGGACCAATTAAAATAACTATTCCCTTTTATCTAATAAGTACTGGGTTGCTGTGCACAGTTTTAGGGATAAAGGGTATTCTCATACTGAACTTTGGACATGGACTACAGATAAGCAACCAGTTATCAGCAGTGTATCTTGGCCTCTTTCATGGGGAACCTCATAAAACTTGCAAAGTGAAGGATTGAAGTAATATTCATGCTTCCTGTGGGTACCTTGCCTCCCCAAGAGCAGAAAGATAGGAAGGAACCAAGCTCTGTTTCTCTAGTCCTGCTTCTAATTCAAAGTCTACTGCCCCATGCCTGAGAGTGAGTGAGGGGATCAAGAGGAGGAGGGCGTCACAAGTGGGGCAGCAATGGAAGAAACCTTGGGAATGGGGAATTAGTTCTCCCCATCTATCCATCTTCCATTTTCCCTTCCAACCATCCAAATATATTTATTGTCTTATATGTAGGAGGCATGGAGCTTGCAGTCTATCCTAGGAATCAGATAGTAAATACTAATTAAATCATATACTGTGGAAGAAAATTTCAGAGCTCTATAGGAATTTCTACTTAGTCTTAGGAGTGAGGGCAAGCCCCTTACAGTTGTGACATTTAAGTTGAGACCTGAAGGGTGGGTGATTTTCCATCCTATTTAGAGTAATCAGGGGAGAAAAAGTGCTGGTATATATGAAGGCCCTGAGGCAAAAAAAAAAGATGCTAAACTATCCTCTCCAGAGTGGTTGAGATTAAAGAGAAGGAGGATGGTGATGTAGGATGAGGCTGGAGGCAAAGGCAGAGTCAGATTCTTCAGGAGTTAGTGCCACTGTACAAATTGTAGACATTTCCAAGAGCAGCATAAGACTGTTGAAGGTTTTAATTTGGTTCAGTGATGGAACCAGGACTTAACAAAGAAGAGCCAAGCAAAGCTCCCAGACACCTGTCTTGACACTTCCCACCCAACTGACTGGCCTTTATTACCTTCCTACATATTTGATCTTTTCAATACAAAAAATCTTATTGATTAAGTAAATTTAGATCTAGAGTTCTTGATTTTTTTAAAAAAGAAAACTGCTCTTCTCTGGCAGACTAATGCTAGTGCAAAATATCCATGAACTACATTTTCTTAAAAGGATTAGAAAGATCTATATCCATAAGTATTTTTACCTATGAAGTATAGGAACAAATACAAAATTCCTTAAGAGCTCTGCAGTACAATTGATTCTCCTTAACTACACTTTGAAAAATACTTTCCTGTGACCATTTCAGATTCCCTTCGCCAAAGATTGTGGAAACAAGGAAAAATGTATCTCGGACCTCACCCTGGGTGTATCCACCACAGAAAAAGACCTCCTTATTGTCAAGTCCCAGAATGACAAGTTCAATGTCAGCCTCACAGTCAGAAACAAAAGGGACAGTGCCTATAATACCAGAACCATCGTGCAGTATTCTCCAAATCTAATTTTTTCAGGAATTGAGGTAAACTTGCAGTTTTTCACTTATTTTTTCTCATAACAATCACTTATTGAATTTACTGTTCATACTGCTGAGCTACTTGCTTTTATTATATTGATTTTGATGAATGGAAAGCATTTTATACAAGGTAATAGATGTTGGTGATGAAAGTACCAAGTTTTTTTTTTTTAAAGCTTTTGTTTTATTTTACTTATTTGGAGATTTGTGTCTCTTCTTAGATTAAGTATGAGAAAAGGATAACTAATAGTTTCACAGATTGAGTCTAGGAGAAGATATATTTATAGTCAAAGCCAAAACCATTTAACAACATGCAGAGATGGACCTCTGTCCTGAAAAAACAATGCAGAATTATCAAGATGCCATTTCCTCTTCTCTATGAAAAATCCTTACTTTGGACAGAGATTTCTGCAAAATGACTATATCTTAATAATTCATAACAGAAGGGGTGTTTAAATTTTTTTCTGGTGGTACTGGTGCTTGAAATAGGGCCTCACACTTGGTAGGCAAGTGCTCTACCACTTGAGCCATGCCTCTAGACCAACAGAAGGTTTTTAAAACTCATTTTGGCAATAATATAAGTTGGTATGACAGAGTTTTTATTAACTTGGCAACATATTTTGTATGAGATGCTCTATCAGAGTCACTTGTGTTTCCAAATTTGAACTTTGCTTTTAATTCTGATCTTTAAAAGAATTAAAATTCTTTAAATTTTTAAATTTCTGTAAAAAAGAAAAATTTTAAATTTTCTTTAAGATTTAAAATTCTGTATGTATTTATTTGAATTACTAACATATATGATTTCTATTTTAAAAGCAATGCAGTTAAGGCTGGATGTATAGCTCAGTGGTAGAGTGCTTCTCTAGCATGCATGAGATCCTGGGTTCTAACCTCCACACTGCAAAAATGTACTTGTGCAGAGTATTATAACACTATTATGTAGTTTTCATAAATTCAGATTTTCACTAATATGTCTCTATATTTGTTAGGAGATCACTTGGAGACATGACAACTATGCTAGTATTTATATTATTATAGCATATCTTGGATTTAGAATATTGATTAATAGTGTAAAGTAATTATATAAATGTAAATATAAGTGCAAAGTAACATTGGGAAAATATTAAGTATCATTGCCTGTTTCTCTTCAGTGGACTTAATGGCCCCAGCTGAGATGCAAAGCAATAAAACCAACAGCAGTGCACCTCCTGTCAACAACAAAATGATCATGAAGAGCACCCTTTCTTGAGTTATATTATGTGCTAGGTATTGTTCTAAGGATCTCACTTATTCTCACTAGTTCTTTTATAATAATTACAAAAATTTGCTGTATTGCAAAGGCTCAAAATCAGCCATTTTTTTCACATTTTAACATTCTGCAATTGCATCTTAAAATTGATAGCAACAGTATTTCACTGGTACCATTATTTTTCTTTCATATTGGTATATCAAATAATGGTATATTTTCTATTCAATAACATTTTAAATTTGATGAAGTAGATAGAAAATCAGGTCCAGAGAGGTGATGTGGTTGCAGGCCAGAGCCCTTGCTCTTATCTACTGCACTAAACTCCTCCAAGTTCTGACACTGTGTGTTGCTCTGTATCATCCAATATATGTGGATTATTCCTTCAGGAGGTAGGTAATGTTAGTGGTCTCTTTTTCCAACTGTGTGTTTAGTCAGGATAGTGAGATGTGCTTTGTCTCTCAAGTGATGCTTTCAGAGCTATGGAACAGGTGGTTTTGAAGTGCTATGACTCTTTCAGATAAATTGAGAGATAAGTCTTGGCAAGGCAGTCACTAAGGCACAGTTGGGAAAATTCTAAAACAACAAGTTGGAACATTTTCCCTGCTTCTTTGCTCTAATTCTGTCTACTTTCTCTTTCTAGGGGATCCAAAAAGATAGTTGTGAATCCAATCATAATATCACATGTAAAGTTGGATATCCTTTTCTGAGAACAGGAGAAATGGTGAGCAGATTATACAAAATGCATATAACAAATAGATATGAAAAGCAATATACTCAAAACTGAATGTAGAAATCCTTCCAATGGTAATTTAGATGAAGTAGTTGAAAAGGATTGAGTAAAAATGCTTGGAAATCTGCTAGAATCTGAATGTTTGTGTCTTCCTAAAATCCATACATTAAAGCTTAATCCCCAATGTGATAGTAGTAAGAAGTGGGGCTTTTGGGATTAGTTGCTTCATAAAAGAGGTCCAAGGGTGCTTGTTTGTCCCTTCTATCATATGAAGTCACATGGTAGGTACAATGTGTAGAAAGTGGCCTTCATTAGACACTGAGTCTTCTGATCTTTTGATCTTGGGATTTCCAGACTCCAGACTTGTGAGCAGTAAATTTCTGTTGTTTTTAAATTATCCAATATAAGACATTTTGTTACAGGAGTCCAAACAGACAAAGACAGAAACAAAAGCCAAGTACTGCATGAGTCAAGACAAAATTTATAGTAGACAAGTGGATGAACAATTTTACATTCCCACCAGCAATGAATGAGGGCCTAAATTTCTTCACATTGTTTAATTAAGTCTTTTTAATTATAGTCATCCTGGTGTGTGTGTGAAGTGATATACATGTCTCATTGTGATTTCAATGTGTATTTCCCTAACAGAAAATGATGTTTAAAGCAATTTTCATGGAAATATTGGCCATTAAAGTATATAGTCTTTGGAGGAATATGTGCTATAATCCTTTACCCATTTTTAAATCAGATTTGCTTTTATATTATTAAATTGTGAGAGCTCTTCATATATCTATATTCAAGTCCCTTATCAAATACATGATTTATAAATTTTGTCCGTTGTCTTTTCATTTTATTTGAAAATAAATGCTTTTAATTTTGACATAGTCTAATTTACATATTTAATCTTTTGTCCTTTGTACTTTGTCAAATCTAAGAAGATTTTGCCTGATCCAAGGTCATAAATATTCTTTCCTTGCTTTCTTCCAAGAGTTTTATGATTTTAGCTCTCCCACTTAGGTCTATGTTCCACTTTGAAGAACTTTCTGTCTTTGAAGTAAAGAAAGAGTCCAATTCATTCTCTGCATATGGATATCCAGTTTTCTGACACCATTGAGAAAAAAAGCTATTCACTCTGCCCACAAGTTTCTTTACCATTTATTCCTCTATTCAGAAATGTTGTACTAATTAGGGCGAAAGCTTAAATGAAAGTATCTATTATGTTATCCCCAAAGAGATGGGAAGTCATCTTGCAAGTAATTTTGAAATGGGCTTTATGCTTAGACTGTTCTTTAGGTTCAAGATCTAGATTTTTAGTTTCAGGTGAATATTGCCATCGGCAGTTTCTTCAGCCCTACTTCTCTGCTAGCATTTTCCCCTAGATGCAAAGACTCATCAAGAATGCAAAGATGTACATGCCCACGCTAGTCATGGAGGTTTAAGGAAAGAGAGAGCTAACTGAAGCACTCAGACGATTTGACCCTCTGTCTATTACAGTGCAAGCCTATGTAGAAAAGCTTCAACTGGAATGGTGATTACTATTCCAAAGCAAGGAAAATAGTGCAGAGGTTGCAATTCTTAGAATAACTCTTTTTTTCTTTTAAAATGTAAATCAAGATATATGTAAGAGAAATGCAAAAGAAAATTCTATACATGATATGGTAAAACCATGTAAATCTCATGACCTTTGAGAGTCTAGTCATCCCTTTTTGTGAATGGTGCCTACCTTGGTTACAAGAGCAATAAGTATCAAACCTTCTCCTGTCCAGCACTTAATCACAAACATACAATTTTAAGTAGTTTCTATTAATTGTACATTTTGGGTTATATATTTTGCTGGTCTGAATTCCAAAATACTTCAATTAGCATAAAACACGATTGGCTTTGAGATAAAGAAATATCACTTCATATGTATTATTATGAAGACTCGGACTAGAACACTATAGGTGACATATTTCTTTGAACAAATAATTTAGTAATTGAAATTTCCATATTAAAGAGACTTTAATTATGACCATTTCACAATTATACTTGTTATTGTGATCTGATAAACCATGGTACCATAATAAAATAAGTAAAATGTACCTTCATGGTGATGCTCTTCAGTTAGTGTAAATGATTTTCATTAATATAACTTGAATAAAGTGTTTAAAATCAATATTATTATGTGTTTTAGTCTATTTGCACTGCCGTAACAAAATACCATAAACTGAGTAGCATATAAATGAGAAATTTATTTATCTTAGTTATGAAGCTGATAAATCCAAGATCAAGACACTGACAGTAATTCCAGGTAGTTGAAAGGGGAGGCAGCTTTCTGGGGCCTGTTTTATAACTAATCCCACTCACGTGGGCCCTCGTGACCTAATCCCCTGCCAAAAGGCCCCACTTCCTCGCACCGTAACATTGGTGAATAAGATTCAACACATGTATTTTGAAAGGAGTCAAACATTCAGACTATAGCAATATGCAAAGTATATGACATGTTCACATTTTAAAGCACATATGTATCATATATTATTCTGTATTTTTCTGAGATGTGATGTGGTTACATTTTGTATGATAATATTTCTGAAACAACTTTATAATTTGAGTTTAGGAAGTCATTTACGTAAAATGAATATTTTAATTATCAAAGTTAACATTTTCTTTTCTGTTCTATTTCTTTTTCATTACTAAACATACATTTTTATTTCATAGGTAACTTTCAAAATATTATTTCAGTTTAATACATCATGTCTTATGGAAAATGTGGCTGTTCATTTAAGCACAACAAGGTTGGTTTATGTGAGTGTAAGCATATGTGCATGCATACATCTAATTTCTTCCCTACAATTGGAATATTTTGCCTTATACAGTCACTGACAGTTTCTTGCAGCTTATATGAGATCAGTAAAAGTCCATGATATACTTTTCTTCACAAAAAGCCCCTTATGAGTATAATTAGCAAAAATTCTCAATTAAGAGAAGTAATATAATCAACTGGATTAAATCTTTGGTTATATGGCTGATATAAGATAATCACACAATTGTTACATCTGCCAAATTGCACTTAAATTCAATGGATGGAATCTGTTCATTTAAAAATTCTTACTGACTATCCATCAAGGTCAATTGAATCATTATATGTACTTAAAATTTTATATCCTTTGTAGTTTAATAGATTTTTATCCAAATCTGTCAAAGCATCTGAAAAGTTATCATAGAACACATAGCTAAAAGAAGCAAAAGGCCAATAAGGGAATTGAAATAATGGATTAACTTTCTTCTAAGTGTAACTATCCCCTGCACATCACCAGTGAGATCAAGTTCTATCTTGTATTGCTTTATTCTCAGTAACTAGCATGTACTTCAATATAAAAATGATTGAATAGAGGACAAGTGAAAAAGTAACAGAAATGAATTGTGAATAAATCAATTCTGTATATTTGATTCAATTTAACTCAACAAGTGTTTATTTGACATCTGCTGTGAACAAGATATTGAAGTAGTCTTTATAAGGAACATAGAAGTGCAGAAGGCATGGAAATTCTCATGGATGAATATCTCAGGGGATTGAGACTAATATGAAAATCATTCCTATACAAGATAAAGTAAGGACAATCAATAATAGAAATATAAACCACGTGTCAGAGACTTAATTAATGGAGAGTGAAATTGTGTCTACTTGGCAATAAGAAGACAAGAAAACTTTAGCAAGAAAATTTAACTGAGAAAGATCCCAAAGGATGAATAGCATTTTTCAGAGAGGTTGTTGAATAGGAATAGATAGAACATTTTCCGGCAAAATATACAGCTTGAGCAAAAACATAAAGGTAGAGCAGTTGATCTAGTTGAGGAATACTCAGTAATCAATTTTAGCTGAAATATTAAGAATACATAAAGCAGTAATGAGAAGTAAACAAGAAGTATGAATTCTACCATACGATACTAGATACTGAACTTCAGTACAAGGAATTGTTTGCTTTGTGGGACAGGACTTGAGGAGTCAGAGGCATATGTACAGAACTGCTTTTTAGGAAGATTAGTTAGCTGCACTATGGAGTAGATGAGAGAGAAGGGGAACAACCTTTCATACTAAGAACTCAGTAACACCGATACCCTAAGTCAAGGCAGCACGCTCTGTCACTGCTCGTAGGAAGCCACTGTATACACTTGGGAACAAGCAGAGCCATTAGAAGGTACTCAGTGCCCATTCTCTGAGACAGTTTGATGCTAGGTGCTTGGTCAGTAGGAAGAGGGATGTGTATAGTAATAATAATAATAAAACCTAATACTTATTCCCTATGTCATAGGCACAATCTTAAGCACTTTATACTGATTAGTCATTTAATTAACATCTAATAATCATTTAGTGAGAAAATACCCATTTTATAGATGAAGAAACCAAGGAACTGAGAGATTAAATAGCTTGCCCAAAATGTACCAGTGTCCAACAATGCCATTCTCTGGCTATATGAGTAATATCACTCATACTTTTTTTATACGGAACACTTCACGAATTTGCCTGTCATCCTTGCACAGGGGCCATGCTAATCTTCTCTGTATAGTTCCAACTTTTAGTGTATGTGCTGCCGAGGTGAGCACACTTTACACATATTTTCAATGAGTATGAGAATACTAACATTATAAATATAGATACGTATATAATTAAAAGTATAACCAAAATCAAGTGAATAAATAAGTGCTTTACAAATAATATGTATATCACACTCGTTTGTCATCTTCCTCCTCACCCTGATTAAAAAATAAGCAAGAATTCCACTCTTTTAAGCTTTTACTTATTTGCAGATATAATCTTCTCTTTCAAATACTTAGAAATGTCTCAAAATAATTGTTTGATCTGAATGCGCTGTGTATATTCCAGTGACAGCGAAGAACCTCCTGAATCCCTTGCTGATAATGAAGCAAATATTTCCATCCCAGTAAAATATGAAGTTGGACTACAGTTTTACAGGTAGGAGGAAATCACATTTATATGTTGATGTCTTTCTGTTAACCAATGACTCTCAATGTGTGGTCTTTGGCCAAGAGCGTTACCACCACCTGGGAATTTATTATACAATTCTCCAACACCACCCCAGACCCAGCTGAGCCAGAAACTCTGGATGGCACCTAATATTCATGTGAAATAAGCCTTCCAGGAAATTATACGCACCCTATCATTTGAGAGCCAGTGTACTAAATACCTCAAAATGTGAGATTGCTCAAGCAATCCAGTCTTAACTCCTAAGTGAGAGCTGAAGTCCTAGAAGTCCTTCCCAAAATACAGTACTTTTCTGACAGGTCGCTGGCATGTTTCTTGGCCATGATCCTCATGCCGTGGTATTTTATCAGCCTGGCTATTCTGAGCACACAAACTAGAGCATTTCTCATTGATGAGCCATTTATTTCTTCCATTATTCATAGACTATTCTTTCTCTTAAGAACTTGTCTATGCAAACATCAGTCACGTTGGCAAACTTTCCCTATATAAATTCCTTGCTTAAGCAGAACTCCAAGATTTTGCCGAGTAATTATGTGCAATGTATACAGATTTACTGATTTTTAAGAATTGGTGGCAAGTTCAGTTTAATCTAAAAATCTTATCACATTATTTACTTATTTTCCATGGCACTTTTTCTTTATTCATAAAAGGTCACAAAATGAAGATTATAAATATTGCTTATATTCCTTAGCCTTTAGACTCTCTTGTCTGTTTTCTATTTTTTTATTACCACTTCTGTCAATACAAAGGTTTCCTAATGATTTTCCATTTACTTAAAATTAAATTTTGGCAAATGCCTAATTTTTTTTTTTTTTTGCTTGTCTTCTCTTGACTGCTTGAAGACATGTTCATTAGTTCTACCAAGTTCACCTACAAACCATGAAAGTTTCTATGGAGAAGACTGAACTTTCAAGTCTAAGCAATAAACATAGGATTTAAAACTGTGAAAATGTAAACATTTTAAAACCAAGCAAAAATTCATCTCTACTAAAAGTACCAAAATTTACCTTGATTTTTTTACTAATGTAAATGGCAGTAACTTTATAGAAACTTAACAGCAAAATTTTTATTTAAAAATTTGCGTGCAATTTAGCAATTTAGAGTCAAGTGTTGATGACTATTAAACTAAGTTGTATATTCCTTCTTACCTTCCTCAAAGGTTTAATTTGGGGTTGCTGAGCAAAGGAATTCCCCTCTGATTTGAACTCTCTATAAGTATTTTTGTGGTATTACATAGTGTGAAGAAAAAAAAGAATGAGTCCAAATAAAAATAAAACTGTTGACATTTTATTTTATTTTTCTAATTACTTCTTTGAAGCTCTGCAAGTGAATACCATATTTCAATTGCGGCCAATGAGTCAGTTCCTGAAGTTATTAATTCCACTGAAGACATTGGAAACGAAATCAATATCTTGTACTTGGTAAGCTATATTAATATTCTAAGAAATTATTGGCAAAGTTATAAATTAGAGTATTAATAGACAAAAAGAAACATGCTTCAACATTTAACCTTTATATCTTAGCATATTTTTCCTTACAATTTTACTATTTTAAAATATTTTATATAAGTTGATGATACAATTTGAATCAGTTTTAAAGATCCACATCTTTAATTTCCCCATAAAATGAAGCATAATCATTTAAAATGACTTTCTGAGTCAGGCATCAGTGGCTCATGCCTGTAATCTTACTTGGGAGATTACAGCTACTTGAGAGGCTGAGACCAGGAGAATCCTAGCTTAAGGCCAGCCCTGGGAAATAGTTCCATCTCCAAAATAACTAAGGCAAAATGGACTGGAGGTGTAGCTCAAGCGGTAGAGTACCTGCTTTATAAGCATGAAGCCTTGGGTTCAATCCCCAGTCCCACAAAAAAAAAAAAAAAATCACTGAGCATAAATCTTTATGTGTATCTTTATTAAATTATTGGTGGTACAAAAATTTTAGTTCTTAATGTTTATAATAGTTTAAAAACTAGACATGGACACAATATAAAAGCTTAATAACATAGAGTTACTTAAATTATCATATATTCTATGAAAACAATATCATATTTTCAATGGGGAAGCAAGATATTATATTTCAGAGGCCACATTTTGGAATTAGAAACCATAATTCTGCTATTTAACAGCCCTGTGACCTTATAAGTTTATTTTTTACATTTTCCTTTAAAATTGTTAGATAAAACAGAGATAAGGAAATCTAATCTACTTCAGAGTTATTAACAAAGTTAAGGCAAAAATGTAAGTGAGATTATTAGCACAATGTATGGCAGGTACATAGTAAACAACTAATTTAGTATGTGGTTGTTATTTAGGTTTTAGCAGCCATATTCTCAAAGAACTTAAATGTTTTAAGGGAAAATACCATAGCACAATAAATTTTGCAGACAGTATACAAAATTTTACTTTTAATGTGATACAAATTTTATAGAATGTGAATATATGCAAATAATAAAGACAAGTAAATTATACACTGAAATGTTATCAAGGTAGTAGACTGTAGGAAACTTATATTTTCTGTTTATTTCCAGTAGCTTCCAATGTTTGTACGAGGACCATTTTTTGAAAAGAAAAAAGTGATAATAATAGCTGGGCATGGTGTCTCACAGCTGTAATCCTAGCTACTTGTGAGGCAGAGACCTGGAGGATCTGAGTTTGAGGCCAGGCCAGGCAAAAAGTTAGCAAGACCCAACAAATCAATAAAAACCTAGGTGTGGTAGCATACACCTGTCATCCAGCTTCAAGGGAAGCCTAAGTAGGAGAATTGTGGTCCAGGCTGGCTGAGGCATAAATGTGAGAGCCTATTCAAAAAATAACTAAAGCAAAAGGGCTGGGTACATGGCTCAAGTGGTAGAGCACCTGCCTAGCAATTACAAGGCCCTGAGTTCAAACCCCAGTAACGCTAAAAAGATGAAAGGAGAGGAAAAAAAGGAGGAGGAGAAGGATAAAAAGAAGAGGAAAAAAGTGATAATAACAGAATATAGGATTTCTGAGTAAACATCAAGAAACAAATGTAGTTCAACTGGGAGACCAGGCCAGGCAAACTCAGGACATCTTACCATCAGAAGATAGTCAAGGGCATGCTCATGTTTATGAGGCAGGCTGAACTGGTTGGGAATCTCCAGCATTCCAGGACTAAGGGATGCATCTTTAGCAATCACAGATAATTGCTCCAGATCAGAGCATCTTAATCTGGAAGGCTTAGTTAGGTAGGTGGTAGACCTCCTGGCATCTGCAGCTCACACTTGTATGGTAGGAGGGAAGCCACTGTACCTGGTGGTCCCAACTCAATTTTTTCTAATCAGGCAAAGACTTCAGCTTTCTGCTGGGCTTCATCCTGTCCACCCTTCTCTATAAACTACACTCGTCATGGCTGCATACTGTGATATGAGTGTGTGGGAATCCTGGATTAGTGGATAAAAACAAATCTAGGTTGAGTTGGAAGTCAAGCTGACTCCTCAGGCTAGAGTATCAACAAATAGCAACATTAGTCCAAGCTAGGTGCAGAATTGTGAAGAGAAGCACATGGGTCTCTGATTTGCCTCACCAGTGGTAGCAAGTCCCATCTAGCTTAGTTAGAGTGACTGATGACTGTAGAGGATTATGACAACTGGGTTAAGGCAAGCAAAAATATGCTAAATTGTTCCAAGTGAATCAGGTAAATGGTCCTCTTCCTTTCCAGTTCCAAAAACCCTGGTGTGTTAGAAAGGATGTTGGGAATGGTAATAAAATAATACAAAACAAGACAACTTTTCAATTCTGGTTTTCTATTAATCTTAGTATCATTTTAAAAGAGTGAAGGATGAAGAAATGATACAATTGTAGCTGATGCATATGGCTATTGACAAACATAAGTATTTTCATATTGGCTTAAGTAAGGCAATTCCTGAACAGTGTCATTAACTGTGTTCACTGGGAAAATCAAAATGTATGCAACTTAATGCATCAACTAACAGCCAATTCCTACATGTCATGGAAAGGATGCTGTTAAAGATGATGAAGAAAGGATTGTTTCTATTTTTTTTCCTGTAGATTAGAAAAAGAGGACATTTTCCAATGCCAGAACTTCAGCTGTCGATTTCATTCCCCAATTTGACATCAAATGGTTTTCCTGTGCTATATCCAGTTGGATGGTCATCTTCTGATGTAAGTTGTAGGTGCCTTACAATTATTCCATTGCTGCTATCTTTTTTACCTTGTCTTTTGTTCTGCATGATCATTGTGATAACGAGATTTACCAAAGTAACATGGAGAGGCATTTAGAAAATTATAAAAAATAATAATGTCCACTAGTTATTTAGTAGACATGTTAGTTCTCTAAGTTTCTGAGTGTCCTCCTTTTCTGTCTCTATTTATTTTTGCGTACTCATCATTGGAATTGGAGCCCTGTTGAAATCCAGGATTTCCTCAACTGAAAATGAATCTTCAAAGATTTTGTGAATTTTCAAATGAGGTCACATTCATAGATTCAGGATGTTTAGACTTGGGCATTTTTTTGGTATTACCATTCAATACACTAGAGTAGATTTTATATAATTTGTTGATGATTTATATCTGAAATGCTTGATACATTTTTAATTTGTTTGAGGTGGACAAACAATACTATAAAGAGATTTTTTTCAGTTGCTTGTAAATGTACATAGCTGCACATAAAACAGAATATTTACTCCCTTATTGCAAACAATAGAAGCATTGTATCCCTTGTACTTGTATCATCAAGTGAGACGAAATGGCAGTTAATTATTGTGACTTAGTCTCTAAAAAAATAGAAAAATAACAGTATTAAACTAATGCATGTATGATTTCAGCATTTGACAATCTGTCTTCTTTTCATCTTTACAAAGTTAAGGTATTCACTGTGATCAAAGTAAATGATAGCTGTATATAAAAATGTCACAAGGAAATCTGTTATTTTGTACAATTAATGTACACTAATTAGATTTTTTAATTAAAGTATTCTCAGAAATAAGAAAAAAGTAACAGTAACACTTGGCTTATAATCCTTTAAATGCTTCCCTAAAAGTGGGAAAAAAAAATAAACCTCTGGAATTTTCCTCTTATCCAGGATAACAGTCATTATATTGAAGAACAAATAATAACTCTTTCTTTTTCCTCAATAAAGTTTTAAATTTTTCTCTCTGTCTTATGGGAATTATTAGCTAATCCTTGAAGAAAACAATAAATTAAAATGAATATTCTGCTCATACAATAGTAATTTTACTAGCATCCTTTCTTTACTAACAACTTCCATTACAATTCTAAATCTCCATGGCAGCAGTAATTATTATCCAGGGTTTAGAATATATGGCTGATGCCTTACACCTCATCCATTCTACACACTTACAAAAATGTTTGTCATCTATGATACCATACCCACTTTTTATCTGCTAAAGGAAATATTTTCATTTTTCAAGAATGCAAACTGCAGACCCCAGAGCCTCGAGGATCCTCTTGGTATCAACTCTGGAAAGAAAATGATGATATCAAAATCTGAAGGTCTCAAACAAGGCACAATTCTGGTAAATTAAGTGCTATTTTTACTTTATGCTATCTTTCCAAACGGAATAAATTCAGTACCAACCTAGAAATAACTATGTGAAGTACTTTAATATGCATCATTGACCACATAGCAAGAATACTAATATGTAACTCTGGAAATTCAAACAGGACTGCAGCACATGTAAATTGGCTACCATCACATGTAATCTGGTTCCCGCTGAAGTAAGCCAGGTGAATGTGTCACTTATCTTGTGGAAACCAACTTTTATAAAAGTAAGTGGTTGCATTTTTCTATGCAGTTATTGAATTAAGTCAACAAATATTTGTTCATAACTTGGTATGTGTGTGCAAACCACAGCCCCACTATGGAAGGCATGAAATTGGCAGCTCGAGGATGTGATCCTACCCACAGCTCTCCTTAACCAGCTATGTAGGCCTCATCTTCCCAATCTGTTGATAAAAAAGTTACCTACAAGGTCCCCTTCCAGATACAGACTTTTTCCATCTCTCATCTTTATTCTTTGTGACGTAAAAGAACTTGTGCTTATCTTACTAGTTTCAAACCCAGTTAAAGTACAAAGAATTATAGATAGAGTTACAATTCTTGACATCACTAACAAAGGAGAGCTAGCATCTGTGATGAGTGGATTATGAGAAGCCCATGAGAACTGGACATAAGCAAGGCAAGCTGCAGCTCTACTGTTTTTCCTAAGATGTTTATCTGTAAACTGAGACTGACACAGCCCACGGCCACAGAAGAGAAAAATGCAGAACAGCTGCTTCTCCTAGGCTCTTTAAGTTCTGAGAAGCAGGAACGCAGGTTTCTCCTGTTACAATGTCACACCCCTCCCAAAGAACTGCTGTTCCACCCTGTTTACCACTGGGTATAAAAGACTCTCTGAAGGAGGAAGCGAGACTTTTGCTTTTTGGCTTTTTGATGGGGAAGGCTTTTGGAAGGGAAGAGAATTGCTTAAGGGAAAAGATTGTTGAGGGAAAGAATTCCTAAAGGGGAATTGCTAGCAAGCCTGAGAGCCAAGATCTTAAGAAAGCTAAAGAGAGAACATAGGACAGTGCAAGTCTGCACTGAGAACTTTATACATAGGCTTTAGAAAAGCTAAGCTAAAGAAAAGCTACAGAGAACATGGGACAGTGCAAGTCTAAGGACTGAGACTTTAAGAGTCATGCATGTGCAGATTTTAGGCATGGCTATTGTTTGCAAGTCTGAGCACCAAGGCTTTAAGAAAGCTAAAGAGACAGTGCAAGTCTGGGGGCAAAGACTTAGGTATTATGCTAAAGAACAGCTAAGAGAAAACATGGGACAGAGCAAGTCTAAGAAAAGAGGTTTTAAAGAACAGCAAAGCAAGGTTTGAAAGACTTTAGAAGCAAGGTTTTAAAGAACTGTAAAGGAGTGAGGCCTTAAAGAATAAAGATAGAGATAAGAAGCAGAGTAAATGAAAAGATTAATAGAGAAAAGAAGCAATGAGGGTTGTGCGTCTCCATCCCAGTGCCCAACACACTTGATCCTACTGTCTGTCTCTTTTCTGAATCTCCAGTCTCCCCCAGTTAAGCCCAGTTAGGTTCAGTAATAACCAGGAGCAAGAGAAAGCTCACTCCTACAAGGGAGTGAGAGAAAAAGCTTGCTCCAAGCATCTATTATGAACTTGTGTTTTATCAGATTTTATTCTATGCAAATATATTTTGAAGGACATTTTTAACCCTTGTTAAAGCCAAATCCATCTGACAACAAACTGCTTTAAATTCTGAGTTCAAACCCCAGTACCACACACAAAAAAATGATGTTTGATACCACTTAATTGATGGTGTAATTATAATACAATCTTCTGCTTATTTTCACTTAGCTAAAAGGACTGATAATGCTGTAACTTCTCCCATATAGATTAACCATTTACGGTGTTTGTCACCTTTGTCTGTATTTAGCAGTTTATTGTGTTTTATATTATGTGACTCTCTCTTAAGTATATAGTTGATCATATGATATTGCTATTTTTGAATATATTAAGTTATTTTTGTAAGTCTTGAATTGTTGAATTGTGGCAATCATGTTTAATCATAAATAAGTGCCTCTAGGAAATCCTCATTACAAAATGTAGCTCTTTCATAACTAGCTACATTAAAAGTGGGCGGAGTTTGAGATTTTGTTTTCTAAGGAAAAATCTTGAATGGAAATTATTTAGATTTAAGTGGGGACTTGGGGGTACAAAGAAGGGAGGAAGGGCATCCAGTGTTCAGTGCATACTACTATTTCCATTTGGAAGTAAACAAAACTAGTGTTTTTAATCTCCCAGAAAAGTCATCTTTAATCATTGTACTACTGAAACATGATTTTGATCAGTGTAATATATTAAAAGCAAGTTTTAATCTGCTTTTCAGACACATTTTTCTAGCTTAAATCTGACAGTAAGGGGAGAGCTTCAGAGTCAAAATACATCACTGATTTTAAATAGTAGCAACCAAAAAAGAGAGGTAAGTACAGCTCTGTGTTGTGCAAACATTATGCATTTCGCTCTGAATTTTTTGACATGTTTTATAATCGCATGTAGACTCTTCAGCAGTGATGGTGTGCTTCTCCATAAGTGGCAGGTATTATTTGCTTTGCACTTCATTAGATTTAAGTGTGATTTTAGTCTTGTTCTTTCTAAGAAACTGGGATAATTGTGATATTTACAATTAACATGCCACGTTTGACGTATTACTCCTAACTACCACAGCAACTGTGTGTTTTTACTTTCACCTTGATAGCAAATGATACAATTGTAACTTTTCTCCTGAAAAACTGACATTATAAAATGCAGCTGGTATCTGAAGAGCAGATTTGGAGAAACAGTTTCTTTACAGAAAGTGCTTTTATACTGTCCAAGAATACATGTGAAATTTTTGAAGTTTTTTTCATTTAGTATTTGGGAAATCTGAAACAAAAATTAAATGGTAAACCCTAATTCAGATTCATGCTGAATCAAACAATGTATACACGTGTGAGTAAATGTAAAAATGATAAAATAAATAAATGATTAAAAATACAATCTTGAGGGTTTTCATAATCCTTGTCCTTTTATGAAATAAGGTCAAAGTAATTGTTTTATTCCCCTCTTTTCCTGGGAGACTTTAAATATTGTATGTGGATAAGCAGAACCATGGGAGTTATATATATATATTTGGAAGCTATTAATACTCAGATGTTCTTGTAAAATTGCCGATTTCAAACTTTCCCCATGTAAATGATCTATGCGTCCTTAACGAAAAAGAAAATGCATGCCCATAAAGCTTACCTCTTCATAAAGAGCACTAGCTTATCAATGAAAAATGCAAAGTGTTCCCCGTGCAGAAAAGTCAGCATTTCACAAAATCCTGAAAAATGTACATGTAGATTTTTTTGGAGGGGGAAAGTATTTTTGATTCCTAAGTATGTTGTGTTAAAATTTTATAATTAGCTTTATTTCTCCTCAATGTTTATTAAAAATTCTCCTGGACATATTTATTCTATATTATATCCTAAAGGAAAATTAAACTTACATTGATAAAATCACTAAAAGTGATCATTTTGTAATTGTGTGATTTCACTACAGTCACTAATCTTGATAAGACCCAGCCTCCACATCTGTAAGTTCAGAGAATTGTTTTAGATGTGTTTAAAGTCTCTCTCAATGGTCTGATTCTGTGTTTATCTATTCTGTGTTTCTGATGCATCAGCAATGGTCTGCCTGGAGTGGCTTAAGGAGTTTGATCAGTATCTACTGTATACAAACATCTCCTCTTTTAGTTTCCTTTTCTATCCAATCTTCCCTATAGATGGAGGAATTGAAATGTTCCAGGCAAAAGGCAGGTACAGATACTTGAGCCATTGTTATTTAGCCAGTGATACCTTTGCTACATTGATTTTTCAGATCTATCAGGGTTATAGAGCAGACAAGTTTCATTAAGGTTTAGGTGTCACACCAAGAGAGCTCAAGAAGCTGGAACACTGAAAGCCGTCTATTCCACAGTGAACTTCAGTTAGGACCTAAATTATAGGTGACTAAGACATAAGTCACTAAGAAGAGACAGTATGCTAGGATAAAAAGCACAATGAGATGGGTATATATTATATATGCTTGAAGTGTGTGTGTGTCATTGTATGAAAATTATATCTTCATATCATTAGAATTGTAGCACATTAGAATTAAAAGAAGACATGGTGGTACTGGGGTTTGAACTTGGACTCAGGGCCTTATGCTTGGCAGGAAGGTAGTGCTCTGTCACTTGAGCCACTCCGCCAACCCTTACGGACTTCACACTTTCTAGTCAAGCTCTCTACCACTTGAGCTGCACCTCTAGTTCTTTTTTTGTTTTCGTGATTTTTTTAGGCAGGGTCTCATGCTTTTTGCCCAATGCCAGCCTCAGATCACAATTGTCATACCTACAATTCCAAAGTAGCTGGTATTAAAGTTGTGCACTACTATCCCTGGCTTGTTCTTTAAGATCTCACTAACTTTCACCTAAGCTGGCTTCAAAACATGATCCTCCCGTCTCTGCCTCCAAAGTAGCTCGGATTACAGGAAAGAACCACCACAATTAGCTGACATTCTCTATGTATAAAGTTATAAAAGATAAAATTATAAATGCTTTTTTGGTAGTAATAAATTTGACATGAATAAAGATTTAGAATAATTGAAGGGCAGTTTTAAATGTAAACTCAATGTTTTCTCTTTTTATAGTAATTTGACTAAGTATACTGTTCGGTAGAAAAATATGGCCTGCAAGAATTCAGTGTTCCAGAAGAAGTTCTAATAGGTGCTCATCACTGTTAACAAACTTGTTTAATCATTTTCAGCTTGCTATTCAAGTTTCCAAAGATGGGATCCCAGGCAGAGTGCCATTATGGGTTATCCTCCTGAGTGCATTCGCAGGACTCTTGCTGCTAATGCTGCTCATATTAGCACTGTGGAAGGTGAGTTTCAAGTCCCTCTGACTCTATTCCAGACTACAGCAAGGTGGTGAAATATATTATGATTTGCCCATGCTGTGGAATGTGGCATTGTACAGCAATGAAAGAAATATTGAAATGAATTTTAAAATGATATTCAGACATGTGCACAGCTTCCTCTAATTTTTAAAAAAGAAAAAAATCTAACTTATTTTGTGATAAATATATCCAAAAATCAATGGAGGATTTCTCTATTAGTTAGGATTATCAAAGACTATTTAACATTTTAAGTTTTTGAATAAGTATATATTACTTATAGCAGAGAAGAATGAAAACTTTCTTTTATAGCAAAAATAAAATTGAATTCTATGTCAATTTAAAGTCATATAAACAGTAGATTCATGATTGAAATAAACCTTGTCCTAATCACATGACATGTATGTATCTTAAAGACCAAATAGTTCTTTGATGTACAGGCATACATACCACATTTTATGTAATAATCGTGTGCCTGGGTAAGCAATGGATAATTTACTAATTAGTTGCTGTAAGAGAAATCTTAGAGTTTCATGGACTCTTATTTCAAATTATTTTATAAGGTTGGGTGACCATCTATTTTCTGTCAGGTTCAGCTGGTAATTTACATAGGATTTTGCTTAAGCTTAGCTATACAAGACTTTTCAGACAGCTATATCATTTTCAAACAAGCTGAGATAATAGCTTTTTTTTTAGCCACTGTTCCTTTCTGACTCTTCTATAATGACTGACTTCCTCTTTGGGTGTTTACTATCAGAGGAGAATATGAACAAAGCCATGTTAAACATGTAGATAAATGACATTTAATTCAGTTGATAGAGTCTGTGACTTTTCTCCTGCAAAGTCTACAAGACAGAATTCTCTGCCACATTCTAAATCCAGTCCTTCATCTGAATTACAAGGTGTGAGTGTTCTCTGTAATACCTGGCTTTGCCACATCGTGGTACCCCAGGCCTGGCTTATTGGTTGTGTTTGAAATGCAGGAAGTGGTTTCTTCATACATAAGCACCTCTAACACAGACTGTTCCTGATGATTTCTGTCAGGATGGTCCTCTAGTGTGAGCACTGCACTTGCCCAAACAATTTTAGGAAACCACTGGCAAGGGAAAGGAAAGTCAGAGCTGATATTTGAGTAAGTTCTCTCTGGCCTCTGGCCTCATGACTGTTTAAGACAGACAAACAAAAAGGAAGTTTTATACACCTGTTTTTTTGGACTCTAGTCTGAAAAAAAAAAAAAACATAAATGTAAAAGTAAACACATTTTTCCATCCAGTAAATGTAGTGTTGATACATCTGTGGCTTCTAAGACCTTTTTATCCCCAAAGGTCATTTAACAAAGTTTGTCTTCTTTTTTTCCTGATTAAATTTTTTATGGTTCCCCATCGGATTTAAAGTAAAACCCAAACTCCCCGCCACCCCCTTCAAGGCCTTCTACGATATAGCTATTTGTGTTGTTTAATATTCTGCCCCACTAGGCTGTAAGCTCCAGGAGGGCAAGGGACAGTATCTAGTTCATAATGCCTGGTACATGTAGACAGTTGATAAATATGTGTAAATCAATCTCACTTACTGAGATGCTCCCTTCTTGAGGCCAGGTCATGCAGATGTGGGAAAACAAGGGGACTCTGAGAGCCAGTCCTTGGTCTGCTGGAGTCCTCAGGCTGGAGAAGAGAGTGACACCCTTACCCAGAGTTACAGTGCTCTGTCCTACCACCTCAATCTCTCTTTCCCAACTAGGCTGTGGTCCTCTGTTCCCCTGGAATGCAGATCTGCACTGGTTTGGGGCCATGAATCTGGGAGAGCTCCACAGGGGTCCTATAGGACATGGACAAATCGCAGCCCCTTACCTTGCTTGGAGCTGGACATTCTGCACAAAGCTTTCCTCTAACCTGTTTCCTATGGCCCTAACATAACATAACATAACTCACTAAGTGATGTCATTTTATTAGTGACAGTCCAAACTGTCTTGACCAGTAGATTTAGTTAGTTAAAACATTTCACCGGGAAGCCTAGGAGTCATAGCTATGTTTCCTAGGTAAAAGGGAAGGGAGCTAGCTCATATTGAGTGTTCTCTGTGTGCCAGGAACTGCTTTAACTTTTTCTGCCTTAAGCATTCTTACATAATATTCACATCAACACTATAAGGAAAACACTGTTATGAACCTCATTCTGCGAGGAGACCGAAGCACTGAAAAGTTAAGCATGTTTTCCAGGATCTAAGGCTAGCAAGGATTTGAATCCTGTGCCAACACTATTAATTGTTAGCACTCTGTTGTCCTTTTTTGTCCTACAACAACCTTTTCAGCCAAGCACTGAAACTACATTTTATACCTAAGGACATTAAACAAGGAGAATAAGTAACTCTCCTAAGATCACTAGCTAGTGAACAGCTGGATTCAAGTGGTAACCTATCCAGAGCCCATCCCTTTTTCAGGGTACAGGGGTTGTAAACTCTAAAACATATAAAAATATTCAGTTGTAGAGGAGGACCCCTGTTTGGATTCAATGTAAAGAAAATGACAAGCCACAGACAAACTGTGAGAAAGTGGAACCTGCCTCTCCTAACTTAATTTATACTGATGTCTAAGCTCCACCACTGAAGATTTATTTATGGATCTGACTTCTATGTTCTTTGTCCGGTATAACTTATTGGGGGATACAGATCCCCCATTATCTGCAGTTTCTCTTTCAACAGGTTCAGTTACCCAGTCAAGCATAATCTAAAAATACAGAATAGTGTAAAATGACTTGAGAAAGAAAGATCACTTTCAAGTAACTTGTATATGATGTTATAGTTGTTTTATTTTAGTATTCATTATTGTTAATCTTCTAATGGATAAATTAAACTTTATCATCATAATGTACACATAGGATAAAAGAATGTGCCTAGGCTTCAGTACTATCCAGTTTCAGACATCTGCTCGGGGTCTTGGAACATATACCTTGTAGATAAAGGAATACTAGTATAACACCTCACCATTTTTAGTCTTTTATGTATTAATATGAATTTATCCATCCAATATTTATTCCATATCATGTTTATTGAGCACCTCTTTTTATCCATGGGCTATTTAATCAGACCCTTTGCCATAGATATTGAATGAGATAAATAAAAAATGGTCATTTAAAATACAGGAAGGAAAACAGAAACAAGCGTACAAAGAAAGTATACAGGCTGAAACTTTTTTTGTTTCAAGTTTTTTTTTTATTCATATGTACATACAATGTTTGGGTCATTTTTAACCCCCTCGCCCCACCACCTCCCTTACCCCCCACCACCCCCTCGCTACCTGGCAGAAACTGTTTTGCCCTTATCTCTAATTTTGTTGAAGAGAGAGTATAAGCCATAATAGGAAGGAATAAGGGTTTTTCCTAGTTGAGATAAGGATAGCTACACAGGGAGTTGACTCAATTGATTTCCTGTACATATGTGTTACCTTCTAGGTTAATTCTTCTTGAACTAACCTTTTATCTAGTTCCTGGTCCCCTCTCCTATTGGCCTCAGTTGCTTTAAAGTATCTGCTTTAGTTTCTCTGCATTGAGGGCAACAAATGCTATCTGGTTTTTTAGGTGTCTTACTTATCCTCACCCCTCCCTTGTGTGCTCTCGCTTTTATCGTGTGCTCAAAGTCCAATCTCCTTGTTGTGTTTGCCCTTGATCTAATGACCGCATGTGAGGGAGAACACACGATTTTTGGTCTTTTGGGCCAAGCTAACCTCACTCAGAATGATGTTCTCCAATTCCATCCATTTACCAGCAAATGATAACATTTCGTTCTTCATGGCTGCATAAAATTCCATTGTGTATAAATACCACATTTTCTTAATCCATTCATCAGTAGTGGGGCATCTTGGCTGTTTCCATAACTTGGCTATTGTGAATAGTGCTGCAATAAACATGGACGCCCAGGTGCCTCTGGAGTAACCTGTGTCACATTCTTTTGGGTATATCCCCAAGAGTGGTATTGCTGGATCATATGGTAGATCGATGTTTAGCTTTCTAAGTAGCCTCCACATTTTTTTCCAGAGTGGTTGTACTAGTCTACATTCCCACCAACAGTGTAAGAGGGTTCCTTTTTCCCCCACGCATCCTTGCCAACACCTGTTGTTAGTGGTGTTGCTAATGATGGCTATTCTAACAGGGGTGAGGTGGAATCTTAGTGTGGTTTTAATTTGCATTTCAATTATTGCTAGAGATGGTGAGCATTTTTTCATGTGTTTTTTGGCCATTTGAATTTCTACTTTTGAGAAAGTTCTGTTTAGATCACTTGCCTATTTCTTTATTGGTTCATTAATTTGGGGAGAATTTAGTTTTTTAAGTTCCCTATATATTCTGGTTATCAGTCCTATGTCTGATGTGTAGCTGGCAAATATTTTCTCCCACACTGTGTTCTCTTCAGTTTAGAGACCATTTCTTTTGATGAATGGAAGCTTTTTAGTTTTATGAAGGCCCATTTATCTATGCTATCTCTTAGTTGCTAGGCTGCTGGGGTTCCACTGAGAAAGTTCTTACCTATACCTACTAATTCCAAGTATTTCTTACTCTTTCCTATATCAACTTTAGAGTTTGGGATCTGATATTAAGGTCTTTGATCCATTTTGTGTTAATATTGTATAGGGTGATGTACATGGATCTAGTTTCAGTTTTTTGCAGACTGCTAACCAGTTTTCCCAGCAGTTTTTGTTGAAGAGGCTGTCTTTTCTCCATCGTATATTTTTAGCACCTTTGTCAAAGACAAGTTGGTTATAGTTGTGTGGCTTCATATCTGAGTCCTCTATTCTGTTCCACTGGTCTTCACATCTGTTTTTGTGCCAGTACCATGCTGTTTTTATTGTTATTGCTTTGTAATATAGTTTGAAGTCGAGTATCATGAAACCTCCAGCATTGTTCTTTTGACTGAGTATTGCCTTGGCTATTCATGGTCTCTTGTGTTTCCATATAAATTTAACAGTAGATTTTTCAATCTCTTTAATGAATGTCATTGGAAT